AACCCACTGAGCCACCCAGGGGCCCCTAAACTATTCTTTTTTTAATTTTCATTTTTGATCATGGTAATTCTCTACCATTGGTAGAATTTTTGTTTTAGTTTTTTCATCTTTAGTGAAGCATTGTTTGGGTCTGTATTTGTGGTCAGCCGCAGGTAGATATGCAGGGAACTGAGAAGTGGATTGGTTACTGACTGGCGGGACTACAGTGTTTCTCAATTTCTTCCCTGTTTTTTCTCACCCACTCTTCTTTCTGAAACTGGGTCAAGGTCAAGGCATTTTCTACCTCTCTAAAATAAGAGCAGTGTTGATATTCTAGGCTTTGTTTTCCTAGGGTGGAATCACATTGCTTTTTAGAAATTGACACAATGATCTTCTGTTTCTTTCTTGAAGCAGAGCAGTAAAAGCCGTGGTCATTTTTCCCTTTGGAATATACACCCTTCTGTATGGCAGTCAGGACTGAGGCAAGGTACACCTGTACCAGCTCTGTTTTCCTCTTGCTTGTTTAGTTTATTTTGCCTTGGTTGTCCTGCCCAGTATTTCTCCTTGTAGCTTGCATTAGTTTTAGGCCATCTCTACCCTCCTAACATGGTGTTACCACTAATTCCTGTCTTGTGTGAGGATTCAGGTAATTTCAGTTTTCCCAAGACTCTGATCAATGATAATTGCTGATTGTAATACATATTTATGGCAGGTTTATATCAATGGCTTTACGTTTTATGTCTGAGTATCTGTTTAACATATACATTTGAGACTTTTGAAGATACTTTATACTGTTTTTCAGTCTTTGGGATATAATCTGTTAAGTAGCTTTTGAGATCAGTTTAGTAAGTTTTATTTTTAAAAAATTCAGAGTGCACAAGATTAGTATAGACTAATTTTGTTTCATGAAAATGTGTTATTTTTCTCAATGAGGATTTCATTCTCTGGGGTATGATGGCAAATGTATCTTACTGTGATTTGCAGTCAAAAATGTTTGAAAACCACTGCTTTATAGGAAATTTGGACTCAGTAATAAGAAAATAAAAATTTTTTTTAAATTTTTTTTTTTTTAAAGATTTTAAGTAATCTCTACACCCAACATGAGGCTCGAACTCCTGACCCCAAAATCAAGTGTCACACACTCTACCAACTGAGCCAGCCAGGTGCATTTCTTAATCTTTTAGAGTATACAAAGCATTTGAAACATTTACTTGTTTCTTTTTTAAAAAGATATTTATTTATTTGAGCTGGAGAGCAGGAGTTGGGGGAAAGGGCGGAGGGAGAAGCATACTCCCCACTGAGCAGGGAGCCCGGTGAAACTTGATCCCAGGACCCTGGGATCATGACCTGAGCTGAAGGCAGATGCTTAACCAACTGAGCCACCTAGGCGTCCTATTTACTTGTTTCTTAAGCACTTACGCAGAGCTTTGTTTCTGAAGAATTTTGTAATTATTTCTATTGACTGATACATAAATAATCCTAGGGTAGATTTGTTTCATCTGTATTTCAGATGAATTTCCTAGGGTCCAGAAGATGAGTAGCCTGCCTAGGTCTCAACCAAAAGGTCAGAGGCATAATTTAGACTTCTGTTTTAGAGACCTTGAGTTTGGTTTTTTTTTTTTTAAATATAGCTCAGCTTCCTTATTTACTTGTTCAGCTACTTAATGTTAATGCATAATTTGCTGGATGATATTGAGTGTACTGTAGAAGAAGAATGCAGTTCATCAGACTTCAATTCCCAGGATTTGTTTATTTGGCTAAAAACAGAAGGAGAATTGTTCTCAGGATGGTCTAGATCATAGAGATTGTTGTTGTCTTAAATCTGCTTTGCTTCTGTTATGAGTTTTTTGTTACCAATTTATAGAACTTTTCAGGGCTTTCTGTGTTCTTTGCTTTGATTCATTGCCAAGATTTGTATTGCCTGCATTCTTTTTAACCTTTAGGTTGACTAAGGGATAACATATTAACATTTTCTTCTATTATTAGCTATACACATAATAGCATTGTCAGGGTCAGTGGATTTCTAAAAAATAGAATTTCTGCTAGACCAAGGTTGTTTTCTGTAAGCAGTCTAATGTGCTTTTGGTGGCCATAGGGAACCATGTACACAGTAAAAATTCTGTTGTTGCCAAGAGTAGAGGGAGAAAAGGGTCTGACTAGAACTACTTATTTCATATTTATTAATAATATCTTTTAGACCAATTGCTGGGTGTCTGAGATCATTTTGTTTTGTTGTGAGCTCTTTTTCCGGAGACATGATGCCTTATTTATGATTTGTGGAAAGTGTGATTTGATGGGTGTACCCTTGGTTGCTGACTGTTAAATGTCATTATCTTTTTTATTGTTTATGGGGCTAAATTAGTAATTTTTCTAATTTGAAAGCAAATAAGGATATGAATTTTGCCTACCAGGTAAAGATACAAAAAGAAAAAAAAAAAAGAAGAACAACTATTAGTGTTCACATTAAAGAACTTGGGGTGACCACTCAGTATTGCATTTCTAGTCTCTTATCTTAATAGCATAAGAAAGCCTGGGAAGAAATATCCTTGAGATCCATAATTATTTAAAAATAGCTTCCTTTTGAGTAAGAGCAGAGCCTTTCACTCCACTGTCATTCAAATTGCATTTAAAGGAAGAAAACTGTTTCCAATGCTGGACACATACTGGTCCCCATACTGGCAATTTTTTATTTTAATTACTCTAAATATACTTTGACATAAAGCTGAGTAGTAATTCTTATCATTCCTGTGCTGAAGCCCCCAGTAGCTCTTAATCAACTACAAAATCAAAACAAATTTACAAATAATTCAGTAATAACAGCGGTAGGGTCAGTGGATTTTTTAAAAATTAACATATGTTGAACCAAGATTGTTTTCTTTAAGCAGTCAAATATATATTTCTTTTTAATCCATGAATAACTGACATACAATGTTAAATTAGTTTCAGGTGTACAACATAAGGATTTGACAATTTGATACATTACCACAATTTGAGACACTACTTAGTGCCCACCAAGATAAGGGTAGTTACCATCTGCCACCATACAAATTTATTACAATATTAGCAGTCTGATGTTTTGATGGCTCTAGGGAACCATGTAGGTAGTAGAATTTAGGTTATTAGTACTATATCAGTTGTTGCCATGGATTTATATCTTTATGAATAAGTATACAGTTGTAAACCACACCCTAAAACAAAATGTAAAATAACATTCATATTATGTGGTAGAGATGTCATTCTACTGAAATGCAGTACTTAATGTTGAACTTAATAGTGGAAAGATTTAGCCTTGGGTTCAATAATATATTTCCTGTTTCTACATTTTAACTTGAGTAATACTATGAAGAGAATATAATACAAGGTATGTATTTAAAGTGTCAAGGCATTGTAGCAGTGTGTGATAATGGGACCTCACATGTAACCAAAACTGACTAAAGTCCTTGAATGCCAATTTTAATGAGGTATTGTTAGAGAACAGCAGAGTTAGAGTTGCCTTGTTCAAATGAAGATGAGATTTGTGTTGTGAATGAGAACATACAGAATAGGAGAAAGTTTGTGCAAGTTGTATATCTGATAAGGGGCAGGTATCTAGAATATAAGAACTCTTGCAAATCAGCAATAAAAAGACAACTCAGTTTAAAAAGTGGGCCAGTGATCTGAATAAGTATTTCTTCTGAAAAGACGTGTAAATGGTTTATAAGCACATGAAGAGATGGTCAACATCATTAGTCACCAGGTAATGCAAGTCAGAACCACAGTGAGTTACCATTCACACCTGCTGGGAGGGCTGTAATAATGTGTTGATGAGGATGGAGAGAAATCCACTGCTCGTGGGATTATAAAATGGTGCAGACACTTTGGAAAATAGCCTGGTAATTCTTCAAGAGGTTAAACATAGACTTATCATATGACCTAGCAATTACACATCTAGGTGTATATCCAAAAGAGTAAGAACATACGTCTACTCAAAAACTTGCACATGAATGTTCATAGCAGCATTATTCATAATAGCCAAATTGTAGAAATAATCCAATGTCCATTAAGTGATACGTGGGTAAATAAAATGTATATCCATACAATAGAATATTGTTGGTAATAAAAAGAAATTATGTACTGATTCATGCTACAAGAAGGATGAACCTTGGGAGCATCATGCTAAGCGATAGCAGCCAGCCACAAAAGATCACATGTATAATTCCATTTATGTGAACTGTTTAGAATAGGCAAATCCATAGAGACAGGAATTAGTGGTTTAGTGGTTGCCTAGGCCTGGTCGGGGAGGGTTTGGGAGGAAATGGGGAGTGCTTTCTGATAGGTACAGGGTTTCTTTTTTGGAGTGATGAAATTGTTGTAAAATTGATTGTGGTTGTGGTTGCAAATTCACAACTGTGAATATATTAAAAATAATTTAACTGTACTCTTTAAATGAGTAGATTGTATGGCATATGAATTATATCTCAGTGAAGCTGTTACTTAAAAATTTGCATTGCGGTTTTTGAAACCTGTGAAATGATAATGGGAATTGAGAATAGAAACAAAGTTAATTGCGTATTTGCCATCCCACTTCCAGCTAATATACATGGTGAATTGCTGTGTTAAAGATGAGGGTTACACAGCTTGATAAGGTACTGAGTGCCCCAGTGTCTTGAGGTCAGCCTGCCTATGCTTCTCTGTCCTACTAGTGTCTCTTTAGTTCATATAGTGCACATACAAACCACAAACGTGGGCAGCAGATTTGGGCAGAACTCAGTTATAATATGGATACCCATTTGTTTCAGAAAATGCTCATGTTAACTTTTTGAAAAATTACCGCTGAAATGACACTAAAATAAAAAGATACCATAGATAACCATGGACCCTTGAGAAGTGGTGATCTAGAGGTGGCAGCTTTCTTCTTTAAGTTGTTATTACAGCTTTGCAAGAGTATCTAAGAACCAGTATATGATTTTTCCCTTGTTCGGTGCACATATTCATAATATTCGTAAACTTCATTTTTTTTTCATTAGGTGAGGACAATGGAAACGCAGCCAGCGTCATTGATTTCTAAGAAGCCTAACAAATATAAAGGGCAGCAAATTGTTGTCTAGTTTCTTAGAGATTTTACAATCTTGAGACTCAAGAGTTTGAGGAACCTTAAGAAAAACCTGAACAAATATTTGGTTATTTCTTGGCTTCTTGAGATGAACTGGAATTGGGGAGAAGTAATTCTTTTTTTTTTTTTTTTTTAAATTTATTTGACAGAGAGAGATCACAAGTAGGCAGAGAGGCAGGCAGAGAGAGAGGAGGAAGCAGGCTCCCCGCCTAGCAGAGAGCCTGATGCGGGGCTCGATCCCAGGATCCTGAGACCATGACCTCAGCCGAAGGCAGAGGCTTTAACCCACTGAGCCCCCCAGGCGCCCAGGAGAAGTAATTCTTAAACCCTGGTGTTTCAAGGTCAGATGTAGATAGATGTAATCGCTGTTTATGCCGGCTGCTCTGTGGGTGGGAGTCCAAATTCTGCAGCTTAATAACTTGAGCACTGAGCCTTGGTTCCTTCCTCTGTGAAAAAGAGGGATGAATAAACAGCGTTGAACTAGTATGTGTAGGGTTGGAATAAGGAAAACATATGAGAAAGGAAAAGTCAGAGATTTATGATACTTGATTTTATGTGGAAACAAAGGACACTTTCATTAACGTCTTGTGAATTGTTATTTTTTTTTTTAATGATGAAAATGAGGAGTTCTGGAAGCCAGTAAGGGGGAGAGGAAGGAACCAACAGAGCAGTAAACATTTATTCAGGACCTTCTTCAACGCCTTTTTTTAGAGTAAACCTACCTTATTCTCACTTTCCGGTCAACTTTGGTATTAATTGAAAACTCCCATCCTGGGTGCATTTTACACTGCACAATTATTTTGTGTCTGGTAGTGGTCCCAATTTTAGCAACAGTTGTACAAAAGATAGTGAACTCTTTTGTCAAAAGTCTGAAAATAAAGTGATAAGAAGGTAAGAATTTTAATTATGGGGTGAAAATAGCTACCGCAGGGGTCCCAAGGGTCCTACTTTTGGGAAACACGTTCAGATTTTGACTCTGTAAACACTTTTAGAAAGATGAGGAACTTGAGAAAAGAAAAATAAGTCCTACCAGCCTGCCACCTAATATAGCTACTCTCATGGTTGTATTAATTTCATTTTTTTCCTGTTCATATCTTAACTAGTTTTAATAACAAGTATGTAATTTTGTATTTTGTTTTTGTAATTTAACATGTCATGAGCACTTCTTGTGGTTGCGTTATTTTTATAACCATATTTTTAAGTGACAGTGCTATAAACTAATTAACCATTCCCTAAGTGTTGGGTATATATGTGTATTTATATCTTGCTTGCAGTTGTTTATTATTATAGATGATAACATGAAATTCTTTAGGCATATACTTTTTCTACTTCTAAGACCTTTTCTTAAAATAGGTTAGTAGAAGTAGAAATTCCACAAAGTACAACTTTTTTTCTTTTTCAAAGTACAACTTTTAATGGGTTTTGACATCTGTTGGGCTTGTTCTATTTTAAAACAAGTGTTTTGGGTTGAATTCTTTATTTGCTTGCTTGTCGTGATTTTCAGATATGTAGACTTACCTTTGTTTATTTAGCCACATTTTTCTACTCCTCTAATTCTGTCTCTCTCTCTCTCACATCCTTTTTTAGGCTGAATTGACTACCCACCCAGCACAGCATCTTACAGGAAAAGAATAGCATTTCCTAGAGGAATAGGAGCATAACAGGAAGGTGTCATTGACTGAATTAAATTTTTAACCTGTCCCCTGAACAGCTACAGGATTTGGAAGCTGAATCAATGTTATCAGATGAGTTAGAATCCAAACCAGAGGTGAGCCCAGGCAGTGCTATCTATCTATCTATTTGTATTTTTTTGTGGGCTATCTTCCAAGGTTTGTCCTTAAGTCAGGAAGTCAGTAAACTTCTGTAATGAGCCAGATAGTAAATATTTTAGGTTTTGTGGGCCATATGGTTTTGGTCGTTAACTACTAGTTTATTATTTTTTTCTATCACTAAGTACTTTCTCAAAGATTTAAAAACTCCTTTTACCTATCGCTTTTTATGTTTCTTTAAGTAAGTATAAGTTATTATACATCTAGGTAATTATGTAATGACAGAAATTTTATATAACATGTGGATGTATATATACATATATAAATATTTACTACCACAACCATTTTTAAATTAATTTTATATATATCTGAAAGTGTTTTCTTTATAAATGTAATTAGAGGATTTAAACAGTATTTATTATTTATTTTATTTATTTATTTATTTTTATTTTTATTTTTATTTTTTTAAAAGATTTTATTTATTTATTTGACAGACAGAGATCACAAGTAGACAGAGAGGCAGGCAGAGAGAGAGAGGGAAGCAGGCTCCCTGCTGAGCAGAGCGCCCGATGTGGGGCTCGATCCCATGACCCCGAGATCATGACCTGAGCCGAAGGCAGTGGCTTAACCCACTGAGCCACCCAGGCGCCCCTATTTTATTTATTTTTTTAAGTGGGCTCCATGCTAGGTGTGGAGCCCATCACAGGGCTTGAACTCATGACCCTGAGATCAAGACCTGAGCTGAGATCAAAAGTTAGACATTTAACTGGATGAGCCCCCTGGGCGCCCCGAAACATTTTTTGATTTTTATTCATTTCTCTTGCTTTAATTTTAGTGTATCTGTGTCACATAGTAGAAAGGTCAGTGAATTTGGAATCAGATGATAGAAGTTTGAAGACTTACTTCCCCTACTAGTCATGTGACCTTAGATAAGTAGTTTGAGGTCTTCAACTTGATTCCTTGTCTTTATTTACTTATTTATTTATTTTTGATTCTTTATCTTTAAAATACATGTTCAATCTTACTGGGTTATGATGAGGATTAAATGAGCCAATATAATATAGCTTTTCTTTAGAACAGAGCACTTGATAAAAATAACTTCAAGTGTTATTTTGTAGTTAATGTAGTTTTTCTCTGAATGTGCTTGAAACTAGTAAGCAATAAAGATTTAATTACGCTGTGAACTTGTTGTAAATTCAGAGGTTTAGATTCATTCATAACAACTTGTATTTTTCAATATTGTCTCTTCCTCCCCCACTCCCCAGCTCCTGGTACAGTTTGTTCAGAATACGTCCATCCCATTGGGACAGGGGCTAGTAGAATCAGAAGCTAAAGACATTACTTGCTTGTCCCTCCTTCCAGTGACTGAGGCCCCAGAATGCAGTCGGCTAATGTTACCAGGTAAAAATGAAGCGTACGAGAAATAAGATAAGCAATTTTTAAGAGCTTAGCCTGCTCTATCATATTGGTGGGATGGGATAAATGACTTTATAACTGACTGATAGAAACTGTAAAAACTAGGAATTATGGAGAATAAGCAACCATGGGAGTTACTTAATTACCAATTGCTTAATTGGTAATTTAAGCCACAGTAATGGATAGGATCATTTGTAGCATGTGAAGAGTGAGAAGAAAAGATCGATGTGGAGCTCCCTATTCAGGGTACAGGGTAAAGCAGGAGAGCCTATGAAGGAGGGAAAAAGGAAAGGCTAGAGTAGTGAGAGAAATATTCCTATAGAATGCAGGCATAGAACTCAGGAGAATAGTCAGTGTGTCAGATGCTTCTAAGAGGCCGGTGGGATAGGGACTGTCCCAGTGAGAAAGGGCCAACAAAACTATTGTTGACAATGGCAGGACCTGTTCCATGGAAAGGGAATGGAAAGCCAGGGTGTAGAGGGTTGAGGCGTCAGTGCAAGGTAAGGGTAGTTGAGGAAGGAACTACACTTTCTCAAGGCTCTCCTGCTATGGGAAGGAAAAAGAGAAGGACATAAGGTAGATGGCAGAATTCTTTTTTTAAGATCTGAAATATTTGAGGATGGTTTTATGCTAACAGGAAAAAGCCAGTTAGAGAAGCTGTAAACAGAAAGAGAGTCTAATTAGTGGGGAGGCTCCAGGAGAGGTAGGAGGAACTAGAATGCTGATCATGAGTTGTGAGATTAACTTTGGATGGGGAGAAGGAGATCCTATCCCTTGACTGTTACCAAGGAGAACATTATTTTTGGGTGCAGTGAATTCTTTATTTTCTGGAAATTGGAATATTTACAATTTGGAATATTGATGTTAAATCGGGGGAGGGTCACCACCTATTGGTGACTGGCGTCAGCTTATAATAAAGTCTTCTGGGTACTGTCCTCTATTGGAGGTGATTTTGAAGTGACTTTAAAATGTTTTTCAATGTTTAAAGATTCAAGAAGGCAGATGCATGCAACCAGCCAGTGTTGACTTAAGGCTTCCCTGTCTAGTTCCTAGCTTTCACATATCTTCTGTCATTCAACTCCTGTTTTTCTACTGGTATGTTGGAGTTTTTCCAGATCCTTATGGATTTTCAGTATGTGTACATTTCCATGTGTTAATAAATTTTGATCTTCATTGGGCTTAAAATTTTCTCTCCCGATTTTAATTTGTTAAATAAATATTTTAACAATATTGAAGTAAAAAGAACAATCATTAATCTTCTTTTCTACATTAACTTCAGTTGTAATTTTTAAAAAGATTATTTATTTATTTGACAGAGAGACAGCTAGAGAGGGAACACAAGTGGGGGTGGGGGGAGTAGGAGAGGCTGAGCAGGGAGCCCCATGCAGGGCTCAATCCCAGAGTCCTGAGATCATGACCAGCAGCCACCCAATGACTGAGCTACACAGGCGCCCCTTTAGTTTTAATTTTGATTGAAAATATTTTATTTTAGGGGCACTTGGGTGGCTCAGAGGGTTAAGCCTCTGTCTTCTCCTCAGGTCATGATCTCAGGGTCCTGAGATTGACCCCTCATCAGGCTCTCTGCTCAGCAGGGTGCCAGCCCCCCCACATTGTCACCCCAATTGCCTCTCTGCCTACTTGTGATCTCTGTCAAATAAATAAATAAAATCTTTTAAAAATATGTTTTATTTTATTTTTAAAAAGTTTTTATTTATGTATTTATTCATTTAAGTAATCTCTACACCCAGTGTTGGGCTCACACTCACAACCCCAAGATCAAGAGTCTTGTGCTCTTCTGACCGAGCCAGCCAGGTACCCTGATTAAAAATATTTTATCTTATTTTATTTCTTTTAAAGATTTTATTTATTTATTTGAGAGAGAGCATGAGCACGAGTGGGGTGAATGGCAAAGGGATAAGAAGACTCGCCATTGAGCAGGGAGCCTGATGTGGGCTTGATCCTGGGACTTTGGGACTGTGGCCGAAGGCAGACACCAACTGACTTAGCCACCCAAGCATCCCTGAAAATATTCTAGATATCCAATTATCAATAACAATAAATGAAATTATTTTACCAATAATAATAAATGAAATTCACATCCCAGCTCATGAAACATAATATTACAAACAAATGTATCTGCACATCTTTCTTTTTTTCTTTTTTTTTTTTTTTTAAGATTTTATTTATTTGACAGGCAGAGATCACAAGTAGGCAGAGAGGCAGGCAGAGAGCCCGATGTGGGGCTCGATCCCAGGACCCCGGGATCATGACCCGAGCCGAAGGCAGCGGCTTAACCCACTGAGCCACCCAGGCGCCCCTCTGCACATCTTTCTAACTTTATTCCTCTCCATCTTAAATATGTGTGTATCATTCCATGCATGGCGGGTATGTTTCCTTTTTAGTTGGTATTTGTGATAGATATAGAAAAGTACAAGATCCTGTGCTTATACATTTCAAAGAGTTATTATAAAGGAGATACCCATCACCCCATCAAGAAATAGAACCTTGCCAGCAGCTAAGCCCCCATGGGGTCCCTCCCTGATAAAGACAACCTCTGTTCTTCACAGGTCACCACTACCTTCAATTCTCTGACCAATATTTGTTCCCTAAGTTTCATCACAGAGATCTAAGCAATGCAGTTTAAACTTAAGTGTTTTTAGACCTTGGAATCATATGAATGTATGTTGCTCTACCTTTCTTCTGTTACTGTATAGCTGTGAGATTCATCCTTGTGTGTGTGGCTGTGCTTTGTTCGGTTTTATTGCTGTGTAGTGTTCTGTTACATGTCTGTAACCACAGCTTCTTTGTCTGTGACGCTGTTGATGAATATTTAGTTATATTCATCATAGTAAAAACTATGATTTTTTTTACTATGATAAACAGTACTGCTATGAACTTCTTTAAAAAATTTTTTTGTGTATGATAATATAAACATAACTAAGGATTTGCCATTTAAACCAGTTAGCCATTTTAATAAATGTACTCTTTAACCAGTTCTGTGACATTAAGTACATTCATATTGTACTATTGCTTTAGACTTTGAAATGGCAGTACTATCCCTAGGCATCTACTTTCATTCCTATAATCTTATCTGTCGTCTTACTTAAAAAAATGGAAAACAAAATTATCTGCCTTTTATAAAGATGACTGAAACCCCTGCAAACATTGGATATGTTAGCTCTGCAGTTCAAGTCCTCATTTTACTGCAACCAAAATCTTTGGAAATTCATTCCTCCAGGGGCACCTGGGTGGCTCAGTGGGTTAAGACCTCTGCCTTCGGCTCAGGTCATGATCTCAGCGTCCTGGGATCGAGTCCCACATCGGGCTCTCTGCTCCTTGGGGAGCCTGCTTCCTCCTCTCTCTCTGCCTGCCTCTCTCTCTACTTGTGATCTTTGTCTGTCAAATAAATAAATAAAATCTTAAAAAAAAAATTCATTCCTCCCTTTAGAATAAAGTCCTAGAGAGCAAATCTTCCAAATTATTTCCTTACATTTCATTGTAAACTCATAAGTATAATGAAACATTTATGATTCTGTAAAATTTCAGTGATTTCTCAGGTTGTGGTTTTTTTCCCCAGTGACTCAATAGAACTGTCACATACATGCTATAAAAATTAAAGGGAGGGAATCTTTTCCCAAGATAAATAATTTAAAATTTAGAATCCTATTCTTGAGTTAATATTTGTTGTATAAATATATTTTTCAAGGGAAAAGTACTGATTTCTGGCCTTGAAAGGACAAAGGCCAATAATGTCCAAATGTGGATGGTTGGTTGGTTGTTACTGCCAAGTGTCAAATGAATCTGTCCCTCATATTTTGGCTGACTCCCTTTAAAACTTAAAGTTATCACTTTTCTTCTGAGGGAAATTTTGTATTTGTAAAATAAAAATGCTGCTGCTCCTATGAGGGCTCTTTTAAGGGTGGTGTGTATCAGAATGGTGAGCTCTGTGGATATAGGTGCTACATAAAGCTGTGATATTTTTCCCTTTGCTAGATGATACTCCAAGTCATACAAACTCCTCCAAGGAGGTCCCTTCCTCAGCTGTGTTGAGAAGCCTTCAGGTGAATGTGGGCCCAGACGGAGAGGAGACGAGGGCTCAGACTGTACAGAAGTCCCCGGAGTTTTTGTCCACTCCAGAATCTCCTAGCTTGTTGCAAGATCTCCAGCCGAGTGATAGCACTTCTTTTATTCTTCTTAACTTAACAAGAGCAGGTACTCTATCCTTTTCTGAACTCTGCTCATGCTTGAGGACAAAAATTGGGGGTGGGGCATATCTAACTCAGCCATACTTAAAATGGAAAGAAGCCTTATTATTTTATAATTTTAGAGAATTGGTACAGTCTGGTGATAAGTTGAATGTGTAGAGGGAGAAGGCAGACTTTTGGATGACTCAGAAGTTTCTCGTTTGGGAAATTAGATTGTGCCATTCAGCAAGATAGCCCAAGAACAGGGTTGGGGGGAGGATGATTAGTTCCAATTTCTGCTTGTTGATGTTGGGATTTCAGAGGACATTCATGAGAAGGTGTCCTTTAGACAGTTAGAAACAGAGTTCTAGAAATGTCTTGTGGGAAATAAGTTGTTTTGGTGCTTATCAGCATTCAGGAAATGTATGAAACAGTGAGCATGGATTCTTTGATTCAGAAGCATAAACAGAAAAGAAGGCAAATCTGGGACCTGGAAAAAACATTTAAGAGAGTAGCAGAATTGTGGGGAGGAACTGCTAGAGAGGGATAAGGAAAACAGAAGGAGAGTGAAATGGGAGAAGCCAAGAGAGGGAAAATGTCTAAAAGAAGAAAAAGGTCGTAAGTCATGCCACATACCACAGGAGAGGCTAGTGAGGGGAGGACTAGGAAGTTTATGTCTGGTGACCTGAGCAAGAGCAATTGTTACTGAGGAGGTAGAGGTCAAGGCCAGGGTTCTAACCGTGACAGATGATAAAGTGGATACAAAAGTTGGGAGTTACACTTGGCAGGAAACTTGACTATAAGTGAATAGCTAGAGAAGTACTTGGGATTTTCTCTTCTTTTTAAAAATGAAGATGGGCGAGACATTTAAAGGCCCTGAGGGGAGGTTGTGAGGTGGCCAGTAGAGAGGAATGGCTTGCAGATGGCCGAGAGAAGATGACTGATAGGGTCAGGATCCTAGCTTGCTTGCCCTGGGGGGACAGCTTTGCCTCTGAAACCAGAGGAGGTAAGAAAGATAAGCCTGTCTGGGAGTGGAAAGTGAGAACCTCATGTAGTAGGAGAACAGAAGCTTGAGGTGAGAGGTGAAAATCTACAAGAGCGGATTCAGCTATTCCAGATACGAAGTATCTGAGCCAGGGCCGGTAAAAGGGTAACTTGGTGGGTAACTTTCACATATCCCCTTGTTTCTTCCAGGTCTGGGATCTTCAGCTGAGCACTTAGTATTTGTACAAGATGAGGCAGAGGATTCAGGGAATGATTTCCTCTCCGGTGAGAGCACGGACAGTAGCATTCCATGGTTCCTCCGGGTTCAGGAGTTGGCTCATGATAGTTTGATTGCTGCTACTCGCGCACAGCTGGCAAAGAATGCAAAAACCAGCAGCAATGGTGAGACCCCTGTGAAGTTTTTCATTTCCAGTATTCTGCATGGAGATTTTGGTAATGCAATGACTGTAATCGAAGTTATTTTATTGGTGAGAGCAGACAGCTAGAAATGTGTACATTGTCTTATTTTCTATAAAATAACTCCGCTCTGGCAGATTCACATGCAAAATCAACACCACTAGCATTCACAGTTGTCAGCTTTGAATTATGTACAGAGCCCCTTTAAAGGGAAAACATTTTCACGGATCAAGATGTTACTTGAGTTGTTTTTATTGTACTGTTCCCTATACTTGGAGCTTTTATACCATTATAAAATCAAAACAGTGTTACCAATTAATAGAAATAAAACTACAAAACCAGTGAAAATAAAGTTAATATTTTATTTTGGCAGACGATGGTGTTTTGCCGAAACTGAATTGCTACTCATAGCAATTTAGCAATTTCAGTAGCTACCACTGCTTTTTTTTTTGGAACCCTTTCATCATATGACCTTAAATATCCAAACAGTCTGTAGTGCTGTTTCTTTTGAGTTCAGCATGCCTGTACTAACTCTGTCCCACTTTTCTCTGTCCAGTAGTTTTCAGGTGTAGTTGTTGGGTCATCAGCATCATCTGGGAACATAGAAATACAAATTCTCAGGCCTCATCCTACTGAGTCAGAAACATGCGCTCTTTTAGTAAGCCCTCTCAGTGGTTCCAATACATGTTAAAGCTTTAGGACCACAACTCTGTTTAAACCACCCCTAAACTATTGCACAACCTTTGCTTATGTAACATGCCATAATACTTTTTGTTTTAGAGCTGCTTCTATATTTTCTCTTTAATCTGTGACAGTTAAGGTACTACAACAAGTTATTAAGGTAAGATACACATTATCATTATCACAAACCAAGCTTAAAGTACTGAAATTTTATGTTGGTACATGACTGTTTGCAGCACATGTGGATGATCTAGAACGTGCTTATGACTATTCTGTGATTACGGTACAAGTGAAAATAAAAAATTAGAAACTTTCTCAAGGATCCCTGAGAATATTTCAGAATATTCCAGTTTTAGAAACATTAACCTAAATCTTTTCTACATGGAGAACTCCAGGCTTCTTTTTTTTTAAAGTTTTTATTTAAATTGCAGTTAGTTAACATACAGCTGAATGTTAGTTTCAGGTATACAGTACAGTGGTTCAACACCGGGTGGCCATCACAGGTGCACTCCTTAATCCCCATACCTGTTTCACCCATGCCCCCCCACCCATCCCTCCTCTAGTGACCGTCAGTTGTTTTATATTGATAAGAGTCTATATCTTCGTTTGCCTCTCTGTTTTTTCCCCCCTTTGCTCTTTTGTTTCTTAAATTCCACCCGTGAGTGAGATCATAGGTATTTGTCCTTCTCTAACTGACTTATTTCACTTAGCATAATAGTTTCTAGCTCCATCTGTGTCACTGCAAAGAGAACTTCAGACTTTTCTTAGTTTCAGAATAATTAGTTCTGCTTTGACAACCATAGTGCTCCTTAGAATGGCCACTTTTACCATTTTGGGGAGGCTGTAAAGTTCAGATTCTTCCTGAGATGCTTTTGCTAATCTCTGGATCCTGAAACCGTCTACATCTCCTCTTTGCATTAAGGAAGTAGCGCTGCATGTGCCAGGAAGAAGCTGTGCAGGGAGGGAACTTAGGGCTTGGTGTCTTGAGACCTGGGATCCAGACCTGGTGCTGTCATGAACCAGTCCTCTGCCTAGCAGATTTAACCTTCTTAGCCACAGTATTCTTGTGTTCAGAACACAGAGATTGTTTTGGAGATTTAAATGAGAGTGTCTCTAGGAGAGCTTATAACCAGCAAAGCATTGTGTGGGTGTTTTTATTACTCTCAAAATATGTTACCTTACTACCTAACAACTACCTTGTATACTTGAATATAAAATGAGCCCAAATATATGAGAGTCTTCTATTTTGTCAATGAGATGATTCCATAAAACCTTTTCAGGGGGTTAACTTAGATATATAAACTGTTAGGCATCTAGATAAAAGTAAACACTGTAAGTTGTTTTTGAAAATTTTATTATTTTGATTCCACACACATTTTAAATCATGAAATACTTTAATTTAATATTGCTTTTCACCCACTAAAATAATGATTTTTTCCAGTATTTAAATGCATCTTTAACATAAATATCTTTGTTGTTACTAAAGCCATTTTGTGAGTCTTGTAGCAGTTTCTCAGAGCACATCTTCACCTCTATCTAAGTTGACTGAGATACGGATATATTTAAATTTTGTATATGATGCTTTATATAAGGGGTTAGCAAAGGGCCAAATAACCACCTGTTTTGTAAATAAAGTTTGGTTGGAATACAGGCATATCCATTCATAACAAATTGGCCGCTCTAGTGGCAAAGTTGAGTAGTTGTGACAGAGACCATATGGTCCTTTAAGCCAAAAATACTTAGTATTTGGCCCTTTACAGAGTAAGTTTACTGACCCATACTATATATGATACTCTCGCTGGAAATTTTATCCTGAATGCAAAGACCTCACATAACTGTGGGATCTTTAAAGTGTTTACAGTGTTATACAACATGCACCGTATAAAGTGTTGAATTTCTTTGTCTTTCTCTTTTTGGGGGGAACCAGTTTGTCAGATCTCTAAATATCCAAAACTATCGTTGCTTGATGTCATTTTAAGCTAATCTGTCTTCGGCAAACAGTGCTCTGTGTTTTTTTAAGGAGTAGTTTCATAAGGACTCAAATACAAGGCAATTCACTATTTTCTGAGCGGTTTTTAAATTTCATGATTATATCAGTGTTCTCATTGTATCTAGAACATTGAATACACAAAGTCCCAAATGTCAGCTGTTTAAATTTCTGTATTAATTTCTACTGATCTTTCATTAGAAATTAATTAGCTGGAGCTCTGGAGTTGGTGGGAAATTTCCCTTATGGTATATACAGTTTTGTACTGTTTAAAATTTACCTATGTGCAGCTGATTTTCAATTAAATAAAAACTGTGTGGGACAATATTAAAAAAGAAAAAAAATTAAAAGTAACTAACAAAAGGCATCTTAGATTCTACTCTGACCTTGGAGCATTTAGTTTTATGATTAGCACTTGGTGACATGTACAGCAAGGAACATGTAGGACAGGAAGAGAATTAAGATTAATATTTGGGATGGAAACCTTGATCAGCTGTCAGGTTCCAGGAAATATGATGGGTACCACATTTATTGTTCCTGTTCTTGGCTTTTGAGAGGGAAATTTGGAAGTACAAATCTTATTCCTGAGACATATGTCTTAGAAAGATAAACTCCATTTGCTTGTAGCAAAATTAAGTAGTCATAAATATTTTTCTCTGTTGATGTCCAACTATATCTTTAAGAAAATTAAAGAAAAGGCGTATTACCTGTGAATCTGGGATTTATATGAAGCTTTAATTAACTGATTTCACTTAAATTTAAGGGAGGCACAAACTCTTCTTCCTTTTGTTCTCTTGAACAAAAAACTTCAGTTGATGTTGTTTCTAGCTTTTTAAAATGTGGTTAGAAATTATAAAATCAGATGAGCTTTTGCATTCTTAAAGAGAAGTGGCACAGGAAATTGGGGGGTTGTTCTTATTCTCTAAAATGGTAGAAATAGCCAGACTGACCTCAGAAGATAGAAATCTAAGAATGATCATTTAGCAGAGAAGTCACAACCATAAGCTCAGAACTAAGCCAGAATGGCTGCCTCTCCTAGAATAAATATAAGTTTACTAATACCTAGAACAAGAAGCCATCTTTAGCACCCCTCTCCGGGTGTTGACATATATGCTTCCCTGCCAATTTCTGTAATGCAGGATAGGTTTAACTCTTCTTTTTTATGTGAAACCATTGTGGACATTTCTTACATTGGCCAGAGAGGCCTGGTCTTGTGAAACGAAGCATGATGGCTTTTGATAATTGTCTGGCGTAAGGGGATGGGAACAAATTGTGCGCTCACTTCTGTTGTTAAGTGGATATAAAGAGAGTGAGGGAAGCTGAAGAGAGTTATCTGCTTACTGATCAGTAGGAGTAAAATATAGGAGCTTTATTGTTTGACCGAAGTACCTCAGCAGCTTCCTTTCCTGGATTACAAATATGTGACTCTGTTACAGGAGAAAATGTCCACCTCAGTTCTGGCGATGGGCAGCCCAAAGATTCTGGGCCCCTTCCTCAAGTGGAAAAGAAGCTCAAATGTACAGTTGAAGGCTGTGACCGGACATTTGTGTGGCCCGCTCACTTCAAGTACCATCTCAAAACGCATCGGTGAGCATATCTGAGGTGCCATACTTGGAGCTTAAGAATGTTGATGCTTCTGGAAGAGCTTGTCCCCAAGTGGACAGATTAAAGGAAAGCCAGGGCTCCAGTTCACTCGTGATTAAGATGTCTTTTGTTTTTTTTAATAGAAAGGTTTGCATTGTCTCATTTACCTCATTTTTCATAAATATTTAATAAGACATTTGGCACCTAAGCATCTTAGAACAAGAGTTCTGGAATCTCATTATAAAACATAATTTCTTGGAAAACTTAAAATATATAAGCATGGGTGTCACTCATAAACCTATGAAATCAGTATTCAAGAAGTAAGGTGTGGGGCACCTGGCTGGCTCAGTTGGTAGAGCATGCAACTCTTGATCTTGGGGTCATGAGTTCAAGCCTCACGTTGGGCATAGAGATTATTATTATTATTTTTTTTTTCATAGAGATTACTTTAATAAAAGAGGGTGGGGAGTAAGGCCTGGGGCATCTGTGGTTTTAATAAGCTTCAGATGGTATATCCAGCTTTGGGATTTACTGTCTGCTTTAAAAGGCAATACGAGATTTAATTTGTCCTTTCTAGAAAAGAGCATTTTCAGTTATTGTTGCTTATATGATTTTTTTTCCCCCCCAGAAATGACCGCTCTTTCATCTGTCCTGCAGAAGGTTGTGGGAAAAGCTTCTATGTGCTGCAGAGACTGAAGGTGCACATGAGGACCCATAATGGGGAGAAGCCCTTTGTGTGCCCCGAGTCTAGCTGTGGTAAGCAGTTCACTACAGCTGGAAATCTGAAGAACCACTTGCGCATCCATACAGGTGTGTGCAACCCCGCCTTCCTGTAGACGGTCTGCCCCTGGGCTCGGGGTTTGCGTGCCTGTCCTCAGGAAAGGCTCGGAGCTGGGAATAGAAGTGAAGGTTTAGGTTTGTTGCTAGAACTCTGAAAATGGAGTTTCTTTTTTTCACATGCTTCGTGGCACTTTTCAGTTAATTCGGTAACCTTTGTTAACCTTTCACCTGCGTGTGAGGAATGGACAGTGTTGATTCCTGCCTGTAGGAGCCTAAAGTGTAGGAAGGGATGTAAGACCTTCTCTGATAACAATGATATGGTGAGATATGGACAAAATCAGTATTTTCAAATATCTTCGACAATTACATGGTTGTAATTTTGATCAGTAATATTTATTGAATCGCACAAACCGTACAGATCCTCTTCTAGCCACTAAGTGGGGTAAGGTGAGGGAGGAAGTACAAAAGCTGAGACACATCCCTGACTTTGAGGAGCTTGCTTTTTTGATGGAGCCTCAAAACATGAGAAGCAGAATGGGAAAGTGACTTGACAGGGTCAAATAGCATGTTAATATCAAAGGAGCCAAATAAAGACACCCTGACTCTCATTCTAAGACTTTAAGGGTGACTTACCAAGCCACTTGGCCCAAAATGTACCAAGTTTCTTATCAGAGCTTAATCACTGAACCAAGACCAGTCTCTTAGGATGTGTAACTGTTCTTCCCCACTTTCTTGGTCTCTTCTTTCTTCTTGCATTGCTAAAATGACAGCAGGTATAATTAAAGGGCATTAAAAAGTGAAACCCCCCCCCCAAAAAAAAGTGAAACCCAAGCTGAGGCCCCATTCATTCCAGGTATCTCCCTGTGATACCTGCTAGATGGACATTACCACTGAATATGTTTTACGGCAGAATAGCTCTTCCCAGCTTTTACTTGAGAGACTGAGCTATACTTAGTTCATCTCAGATGGCAGAAGTGACCACAGATCTTTATTAGTAGTGACAACAGTAATTAAAGCTACTGATTTTGGTGGCTTACCACGAGGGCTGACTATGTGCCAGACACTATGCTGAAAGTACTTAACTTGTAGTGTCTCAATTCTCAAAATAATCTTTTGAGATTGTATTATGTTAATTTAATTTTTTTAAAAAATTAATTTATTTCAGGGGCGCCTGGGTAGCTCAGTGGGTTGAGGCCTCTGCCTTCGGCTCAGGTCATGATCCCGGGGTGCTGGGATCGAGCCCCACATTGGGCTCTCTGCTCAGCGGGGAGCCTGCTTCTCCATCTCTCTCTCTCTGCCTACCTCTCTGCCAACTTGTGATCTCTGTCTGTCAAATGAATGAATAAAATCTTAAAAAGAAAAAAAAAAGATTGATTGATTTCAGAGAGAGGGATAGCACATTCAAACATTGTGGAGGGGCAGAGGTGAACTCCCTGCTGAGCAGCATGGGGTGGGGGTGGGGGGCCCGTGGTCCCAGCACCCTGAAATCATGACTTGAGCCAAAAGCAAAAATCGGACACCCAGCCGACTGAGCCACCCAGGTGCCCCAGAATTCCTCCCTTTTCTGAATACTTAGCACGTTTTTGTACAGGAATTTATACTAAAGTTATTTATGAATACATTTATTTCTCACACTAGTCTGTGACCTTTGGATAGGAACTACATCTCTGATTTTTTTTTCACTTTTTATTTTGAAATAATTAGTCTCATGAGAATTTGCAAAAATAGTACAAAAAGTTATGTGCCTTACCCAGCTTCTCCAAAAAGGGACATCTTCTGTCGCCACAGTACAATATCAAAACCAGAAAGTTAATAGTACTATCAGTTAGTCTACAGGCCTTATTTTTTTCGTTTTTACCATGCATCTTTGATTTTTAAAATAATAATGTAATACTGTAGACAATAAAAATTACAGAGAAATACAAAGAAGAAAGGAAATCATAATGCCACTATCAGGCTGTAATTACTTTTAGCATATTGTTACAGATTTTTCTTTGTACCTCTGACTGAATATCTGTTTTTGTTTGTTTGCTTTAGACAGTGGAACTATGTAAAACTTATTTTATAACCTTTAGAAATCTGTACTTTTAGTGGATTTAGAAACTGAATCATGGAAAGAATTAATATAAGGTAAAAATCCTAACAGCATATGTGGTGTTAATCTTGATACCCTCAAAAGGGGTGGGATCACTGAGGAAGGTAAGTCAGTGTAGCTGGGATCAGCGCTTGAGCCAGGAAGGAGGAGGAAGTATGATGCTCAGAGGTAGCAACTCTAGAGAGGAGGGCAGGGCTGTCTGGCGGGTTGTTGGCTGGGAGACCACTGAGTGGCGACACCTGCTGGATAGATAGCCCCGCTGAAACTACACAGGCTGAATTCAAGAAATCTGAGCAAGTCATTGGAAACTGGGTAATGTTAATGGGAAAAGAGAGTAATAGATAGTTCATCAGAACACTGACTCTTTATCTCATTTTCTGTCTCTAGGAGAGAAGCCTTTTCTGTGTGAAGCCCAAGGATGTGGCCGTTCCTTTGCGGAGTATTCTAGCCTGAGAAAACATCTGGTGGTTCACTCAGGTACTAGAACCCATCCCAGTCACAGATTTCAGGGAAGGTGGAGAACCATAGGGTAAAAGGATGGTGGTGGGGGGTGGGGGTGGTGTAAAGAACCCTGGAAAGAAACAAGCTGATCAACATAAAGTTTGCTCCTCATGACAGAATCAGAAATCAAAGCTATTGATAATTGCATGGGAAGGGTTGTGTAATCAAGGGGGAAAGACCTAATTGCTTTATTCTCAGCCAAGTCGTTGACTGAATTGCTTTCGAATCCAGAGCTTTTCTGAGGAGATCAGCAAATTTGCACTGTGTTGGGTGCTTTATAAGGTACATCAGATATGGGCTATGGAAGTTATTCAAAGGAGAGATTACTGAAGCAGGAGTGAACTCAAGAGTGGAGAGGGATTCTAGAATCAAGTAATTGTTCAAATGGTTGGCCATAGGAAGTATTGGGAGGCCAAAACAGGAAGAATGGAGAAAAGGAACAGGAAGTTATTTATGATGAGGATAGCAAAGCAATTCAGTGGGAGTGAGGGAGTTAGAGAGGTGTAAGCAAGCAGAGATAGGAATTTCAGAGTTGAGCTCTTACCTGCTGACAAGTTCTAAGCAGAAGGTCACAAACTGATAACCTGTGGGTTAGATGGGGACTTCAGGTACATTTTGGTTGGTTTGTAGAGTGTTTTTTTATTTTATCTTACTTAATTTTATTATATAGGGTACCTGGGTGACTCAGTGGGTTAAGCCTCTGCCTTCGGCTCTGGTCATGATCTCAGGGTCCTGGGATTGAGTCCCGCTTTGGGTGAGCAGGGAGCCCGCTTTCCCCCTCCCTCTGCTGCTCCCCCTGCTTGTGCTGTCTCTCCTTCTCTCACTCTCTGTCAAATAAATTCTTTTTAAAAAATTTATTATATAAAATTATGTCAAACATACATAAAAGAGAAATAAAGACATTTTCTTACATAACAATACTGTTATCATACCTTTTAGAATTAACAATTCCTTAATTTTATCTCATACCCAGTCCATGTTTAGTTTTTTTATTCAATTGTCTCAAAAATGTCTTTTTTTTAAAGATTTTATTTATTTATTTGACAGAGACACAATGAGAGAGGGAACATAAGCAGTGGGAGTGGAAGAGGGAGAAGCAGGCTTCCCACTGAGCAGGGAGTCCAATGCGAGGCTCAATTCCAGGACCCCAGGATCATGACCCAAGCCGAAGGCAGACACTTAACGACTGAGCCACCCAGGCGCCCCTCAAAAATGTCTTTTACAGTGGATTTATTTAAATCAGGATCCAATAAGTTTTAATTATTATACTTGGTTTAATTTTTGTACTTAAGTCTTTAATCTAAATCTGTTTATACTCACTTTTTTTTTTCCTGCCATAGACTTGTTGCACCACAGAGTTAGTTGGGTTTTACGGAATGTCTCACATTCTGGATTGGTTGGTTTGCTTCGTTTTATGTTATTTAACTTGTTTCCCTAGATTTCCTATAGAAGAAAGTCAGCCCTAGAAGCTTCAAAGTTTCAAAGACTTGGCAAGGATGTGTTATAAATTGTTGTATGTGTTTCATTTTGTATCATCATATCAGGAGGCGCACAGTGCTTGGTTGTCAGAATTTATCATGGGTTCAGATGGTAACACCTTGATCTTCACATTGTAAAGTTCCCTAGCATGTTTTGCCATATCTATGAGTGATGCCTGAATTAGTTATTTCATTAGGATTGTAAAATGGTGGTTTCTAATTCTATCATTCTGTTCACATCAGCTGGAATTCTTCTGTGTATAATAGGTCTCTTCTCTATCCAGTAGGGCTGTTTGGTAATTTGCACAGGAAAGGCAGAAAAAAAATGTGTGACCCTTTTCTTTTCATTTCTTTTAATTATGAGTCTTCAAAATAAGAAATTAGAGCTCTTGTTTCTTCTGGTAAATTCATGGGTTTCTGTGTAGTCATTGCATATCAATCCATTGTAGTTCTCTTTTAACAGTTTTTTTGGTGTATAATGCATATACCTTAAAATTCACCTATTGTAAACATACAGATCAGTGTTAGAAAATATGTAGAATTGTACAGTCATCACCACAGTCCAGTTTTTAAACACTTCTGTCACATCAGGACGTTCCTTTGTGCCCTCTGGTTGTCAGTTCCTGCTTCCACCCCCAGATTCAGGCAACCACTGGTGAGCTTTCTGTCTCTATAGATTTTCCTTCTCTGGAAATTTTCTGGCCTTTTCACTTACTCTGGCCTCCTACTGATCTCCTATAGGCATGTGTTTCTGACCCCAGCTCTAATTGTGGTTGTCTGAGTAGGTGGAAAGACTACTGAGAGCTTTGGACTTGAGGGTACAGAGGATAGTTCAGATCACTGTGTAGAAGACCCACCAGTGTAAACACTGGTGACTCTGAGAGTGGTGGCAGGAAGTGGTGGGATAAGGGAGTATTCTGGACCCAGGGTTGGGATCCTTGAGGATGGTACATGTTCCAGAGCTCCAGGGAATACTGCATCTGGAAAGGGAAGGAAATATTCTGTGTGGCTGCCATGATCTGATACCAAAGAGGTGAAGGCAGCAGTATAGTAGGTCTGGAAAGGGTAGGAGTTGGGAGCAATGGGCATGCTAAGCCCTCCTGGTGAACTTTTCCTGCCTTCCCTGGTGTATGAAGGTTCTGAGGCTGGGGACCTCCAAGGCTGGGTGGAGAATGGGAGAAGGAAAAGCCTCTTCTGTTTAGTTGAATGTTCTGTGAGCTTCTCTCTCCAGGTCTTGAGTCCATTCTCTTGCAGTCAGAAATGTACCCTGTTCTTTTGGCTATGCTGTTTTAACCTGCTCTGTTTCAGGAGAGAAGCCTCATCAGTGTCAAGTTTGTGGGAAGACCTTCTCTCAGAGTGGGAGTAGGAACGTGCACATGAGAAAGCATCACTTGCAGCTGGGAGCAGCTGGGAGTCAAGACCAGGAGCAAACCGGTGAGGAGAGAGAGTAGAGTGGAGGGCTGTATCTTCTGGGTTCAAAAAGCCAAATAACTGGCCTACCTGGTTATTTAGGAATTTTCAGATTCTGTGTTGGGGGAGAGACCTAGTCTCATTTGATGGATTAGTGGTTTCCAAGTATAGCTCTACAGTGAAATCTGTAAGCTTTCAAAATGTGCATGTTTGTATTGCCTGTCCACCCCTCATCCCCAAATAAAACAAACAGTACAAACTGACAACTGAAATTATTGGGGAGTAAGATCCCCAAATCTGTAGTTTCCAAGTTTCCCTAGTGAATTTGATGGTAACTCATGCTTATCCCTTAACTAGCACTTGAGTATTGTGATAAAGACTTCTTTATATATATAGAAGAGGAGGGTTTAAACATTTTTTATAGTCAGTCCTGACTCCCCTTTTTACCCTAACTTAAATTTGATAACTCATTTTTATTATTTTTTTCCATGTCTTACACTGTGATCAATTATTTCATTCCAAATACTCCTTTCCAAGGATGGACCCATCCCACTTCATATATTAATTCTCCACACGCTGCTCACAGGCAAAGATATTTATCTATGAGGCTCTGCCCTTCCCTTCTAGGGTTATTCTTACTCCCCAGAAGTAGATAGCATCCAAGACAGGTTACATTCCAGTTCTGAAAGGAAAGGCCAGCTTCCTGTGAAGGCAGATGGGGACCAGGCACAGCCTCGCGTGCTGCGTGTCTCTCACATCCTGTTCTCTGTGCAGCTGAGCCGCTAATGGGCAGTAGTTTGCTCGAAGAGGCTTCAGGAACCAGTAAAAACCTGGTGCCTATGAACTCCCAGCCGAGCCTTGGTGGAGAGTCCTTGAACCTACCAAATACCAATTCTATCCTAGGAGTTGATGATGGTAAGACGTTCAGCTTTCCTTTATTTGGGGAAAACGGGCTACAACTAGGGATTAAGGAATGGGGTTGTCTCCATAAGGGAGGTTTTAATTAATTTCATTTCTTGTGAGTAGCTGTGGTATGACTGTGTAGCATTTGTGTTCTTTGTCTCTGGGATGGATAAGTGAATCTGTTAAAAAAAATATATATATTTTTGTTGTTGAACAGATGATGTAACAAAAGAAGAAAGAGAAAAAAATTTTAAGAAGAAAATTATCCATAATCCTAGCATCTTAGCCCAATTATTTCTATCTTTCCTATTGCAGTTATGGAAGAACTTAACTTTTAAAACATTTAAACAGAACATAACCAGGTTTTACAGAGGAGATATAAAGCAATTTCTCCATACCTTCAAAAGCCATATCTTCTGGAGAAAAGAAAGGGCTGTCTAGGAAACAGTTGCTCCTCTCTGGTATAGAAATTTCACCCAAGTTACACAGGCCAGGCCCTCTTCTCTGAAAAACTTAACAGGTGAGGTCAGCATGCATTTATTCAGTGCCTACTGTGTGCCTGGCACCGTGGGAAAGACAAAAGTAGAAAACAGGGACTTTAAAATCCAGTTGAGAAGTCAAAACTTACATATGGGAGACAACATGGAGTGAATAGAAGATAGTATGTGAGTAAATGCTAAATTACACGGTACTGTCTGGAAGAGCAGTATGTATTGAAAGCCCGGGAGGAGAAGGTTTTGATTTATTAGAGACCTAAGTGTATAGACTATTTCTAGAAGATTTTTACGGTGATTCCACTGATGAAGTCCGAGATCCTGTGTTTTAGTTACTCGTATCCCACTCAGTTTTGTGTATAAGTGACCATGTTTGTGTAAACTTCTGTGTGGAGCCTACAGGGCTCAGAATGTGCTTCCACAACACGCCTCCTCGGTTGTATAGTAGCATCCTAGTGGACAGTTGAAGTATGTATGAGCCACAGCCGTGGCATGGAACTGCTTTGCCACTGTTAAGGAAGAAAGTCTCATGGGAGGAAGAGACACTGTAAGAACTTTGAAGCCAGATTTAAGTTCCTAACTTCTGCACAGTATGCTGTTTATGTCGCTGCTGGCTGCTTTAAGCGTTGGCTGAGGTCCCCTGATCCGCCCGCTGCCACAGCTCTTACCCCATTTCATGCACGGCTAATTCAGCTAACAGTGCCAAGGCCGTACTGCTCTGAATTGGTACTTTGAAAACTGGTCAACTCTTGATATATATCTCAAGACTTCTTACCTTTTCTTCCCATCCCCCTTTTGTAATACTTTCCAAATTCACTGGTAATGATTATCCTCTTCAGATGGGAGCTAATTTGGAAGGAATACAGGAGTGTGGGTTTCAGGGAGCAGTTTGTAGTGTTCTTTGTGAGAGGCTTGATAATGCAGGTAGGGTTATCTGTGGATTCACTCTCCACTGAAACATTTTCTGCTGTTTCAGAGGTGCTTGCTGAAGGATCCCCGCGTCCCCTGTCTTCAGTGCCTGATGTGACACATCACTTGGTGACCATGCAGTCAGGGAGGCAATCCTATGAGGTTTCTGTGTTAACTGCTGTAAATCCACAGGAGGTAAATCTCTCTCTTGCCTTTACTTTGTTTCTGTGGAGACTAATGTGGACAGTGGTTGGGAATCTGGTTTAGATGATCTGAATTACTCGTTTCCCTTTCCTGGAAACCTTGTCTAGAATATCTTCCTTTAAGCTAAATATGAATCCAGCTTAACTTAAGCTTGATTGTTAGGGTCTCCTGCATTGGGAGATTGGTCACTCAAGACTGGGTCTCAGCTTTGATTTCCTTCATATACTTACCTTACTGAATGATAGCTGCTCCTGTGTTCTCTGCCTATAACATGAGGATGCTGCTTTTATTTTATAAAGAAAATAGTATCCTGGACAAAGTGGTCCTTGAGCAAAAAAGATAGTGACAGAATCACTGAAAGTAATCATCGTTCATTTTATTAGGGTCATATGTCTGGGAGATACCAAGCTGAACCAACTGGGTCTTCAGGAATGTGTTCACTTGCTTGTTGAATGAGAGCCATCATCTAAATCGGGGAAAGGTTTTAGGTTGACTCTAAGCATTCCCAACTCTATGGTCTTGGCTCTAACCCAGAGAACAGAATGAAAACCAGTCAGGCTTCTAGAATCTTAGGATATTTTATTGGCCTTTTGTCCTGAGAGTAGATGACTTCATCATGAGCTCATTGCGTATGCATGAACTTTTGCCAAAACCCATGTATCCTGGATCCCTTCGAATTATAGTAACTCTTACAGTGCCTTCCCCTCTTTTCCCTTGACCTTTTCATTATAACCTCATCCCACAAGGTCAGCTGTTCCAGTGTTCTGATGACTGCATCCCATATGAAATATTCTGTATTATTCTGTAAGACTTCTGGGGATGCCCAAAATCACGGGGCTCTGGACATGCATGTTAATGATTTTGCCAGAACCTTTCCTTGTATTCATTCATCATTGTGTCCCATTGTCTGAGCCTTGCTTATATTATATTGAATTTTTTTTTTGCTATTGGTTTCATTGGTTCTTTGCTAAATCACCTTCTCCTTGCTACTGCTTTGGAACATAGCTCACCTGTGAAGACTTTCTTTATTATTTTCCCTCTTCATTTATGTATTTTAAAATTTTTATTATGAAAATTTTCAGGGGCACCTGGGTGGCTCAGTTGGTTCAGCAGCTGCCTTTGGCTCAGGTCATGATCCCAGGGTCCTGGGATTGAGCCCCGCCTTGGGCTCCCCACTCAGTGGAGTATCCCCCAAGAGGGGGATCCCTCTCCCCCTGCTTGTTCTTTGTCTGTCAAGTAAATTTTTTGAAAAAATATTTTATTTATTTACTTGACAGACAGAGATCACAAGTAGGCAGAGAGGCAGGCAGAGAGAGAGGAGGAAGCAGGCTCCCCGCTGAGTGGAGAGCCCGATGCGGGGCTCGATCCCAGGACCCTGAGATCATGACCTGAGCCGAAGGCAGAGGCTTTAACCCACTGAGCCACCTAGGTGCCCCTAAATAAAATCTTTTAAAAAAAAAAGTTTTCAGGGGCTCCCCCACATTGGGCTCTCTGCTCAGTGGGGAGCCGGCTTCCTCCTCTCTCTCTCTGCCTGCCTCTCTGCCTACTTGTGATCTCTGTCTGTCAAATAAATAAATAAATAATCTTTATAAAAATAAATAAATTAAATAAAATAGAAAATAAATAAGATAAAAAACAAATAGAGTGTAGTGAGAGAAAGTATAGTATAATTAACTCATGTACCTATCTCCTCAACTTCAACAGTTAACTTTCTACTATTATTTATCTCTTCCCACCTACTTCTTGTTGGTGCTATTCTGTTTGTGCTGGAGTATTTAAAAGCAAATCACAGATGTATCATTTCATTTGTAGATATTTCAGGACATACCGCTAACAGATAAGTAATTTTTCATAGCTATAATATCTTCATCATACCCAACAGTCATTTATTGATATCCTCGAATTTTAGTCCGTGTTCCTTTTATTTTTTTCCCAAAATGTCTTTTTTTTTTTTTTTAAGATTTTATTTATTTATTTGACAGAGATCACAAGTAGGCAGAGAAGCAGGCAGAGAGAGATAGGAGGAAGCAGACTCTCCGCTGAGCAGAGAGCCCAATGCGGGGCTCGATCCCAGGACCCTGGGATCATGACCTGAGCCGAAGGCAGAGGCTTTACACTGAGCCACCCAGGCGCCCCTCCCAAAATGTCTTTTAATGGTTGGTTGGTTTAAATTAGGATTCAAACAAGGTCCATTCACTCCATTTGGTTAATAATTCTCTTTATTTCTAACAGTCTTCCCCACCCCCCACTCCCTATTTCTGTTTTTTCAGAATGACTTAACCATTTAATAAGAATTTCCCACATTCTGGTTTTGGCTGATTGACTCCTTTTGTTGTTTAATACATTTCTCTATCTATAGATATCCTCAATACTGGTCATGAGGAGCTTAGATTCATGTTTGGTTTTTTCCCCTCGGCAAGAACATGCTGTAGGTGCTGTTCTTGCTTTCTGTGACAGCTCACAGCAGACGCGATGTTTAGTTGTTCTCCTCTTACTGAGCTTAATGATTGACCAATGGGTTACATAAAAATTTTGGCAAACATTACTGATCATGGCTTAGATCAGTTTTTTTATTAAGGCTCGCAAAACGGCGATATCCTAATTCCTTTTCTTTTTCTTTTTTTTTTTTTTAAAGATTTTATTTATTTATTTGACAGACAGAGATCACAAGTAGGCAGAGAGGCAGGCAGATAGAGAGGGGGAAGCAGGCTCCCTGCTGAGCAGAGAGCTTGATGTGAGGCTCGATCCCAGGACCCTGGGATCATGACCAGAGCCGAAGGCAGAGGCTTAACCCACTGAGCCACCCAGGTGCCCCCCTAATTCCTTTTCTTTCTGCTTTTTTGAATTGTGATTCTTCTGTAAAAGAAGTATTTTAGAGAAAATACTCTCATCAACAATCAGATTGCTCTGAAATCGTTCAGAAAGATCATCTTTTTTACCTAGTGGAAATTATTATTCTGATAAACCAATCCACAACACTCAACCTTTTCCTTTTCTATATTTGAAACCTTGGAGCTTTTCTCCCCTCTACTTTTATTTTTTATTTTTTTTAAGATTTTATTTATTTATTTGACAGACAGATATCACAAGTAGGCAGAGAGGCAGGCAAAGAGAGAGGGGAAAGCAGGCTCCCTGCCGAGCAGAGAGCCCGATGTGGGACTCTATCCCAGGACCCTGGGATCATGACCTGAGCGGAAGGCAGAGGCTTTAACCCACTGAGCCACCCAGGTGCCCCTCCCCTATACTTTTAGTTACCTTTTTTTTTTTTTTTTTTTTTTTTTTACTGAAGCATTTCAGGTTTCCTTATATAAATGCCAGATGTATAAAAACTTAGTCAACAATGTGTAAACCTGGCGATTCACAGACCTGTACCCCTGGATAAAAATATATGTTTAAAAAAAATAAAATTAATTAATTAAAAAAAAACTTAGTCAATAGATACTATGTACCTAATGTGTGCAAGACCCTCTGTTGGGTACTGAACAACAGTAAACAAGGTACAGTCTCTGCCTCAAAGAGCTTAGAGTCAGACTTCGAACCTCTGCCTTTTATAACTGTACAAAATTGTGCCCCCTGAGTTACATGTAAGGGAGAATGGGAAGGGGGACAGATCAATAAACAGGCAATTTTCATACAGTGTAGTAAGTACTAGTCTTGGGGGACATCAGCGAGTAAGTTTGAGTTTAAGTTGAGGCCTGAGGGATGAAGAGCTGTTATCTTGACGGAGAAGTGGAAGGGACTGGAAGAAAGTAACAGGCATAAAGGTAGCAAGGTGTACAGCGCAGAAGGTGCGGGAGCCGGGCACAACTGTGGAACCACAAAGGGTTGAGGAGGATGGAAGGTGGAATGGAGAGTGGGAGCGGGGAAGAGAAGCTGGTTTCTCTGTTGAAGGCCTCACTTCAAGGACATGATTTTATCCTGGGACAGTGGGGAGCCACTGGAAGGTTTTCAGCCAGGTCTGACATGGTCAGATTTGTGCGTGCGGAGTCCAGTAACAGCACATTTGTTCCCTTTGGACCTAGGCACATGGGTCTTGGAATTGGCTTCAGAGTGTCCTTGCCCGGGTGATGCTCACTCACAGCCTCAGATGGACACGGTACCATGGACCACCTATAAAAAACAAAACTCGGCCTTCATCCAGGAGGACACTAAAGGTGTACAGGCCCTAAGCACCCAATTTCGTGATGGAAGCCCCAGATACTTCTTAGAAGAATATTAACAGTACAGGGGCGCCTGGGTGGCTCAGTGGGTTAAGCCTCTGCCTTCGGCTCAGGTCATGATCTCAGGGTCCTGGGATCGAGCCCCGCATCGGGCTCTCTGCTGGGCAGGGAGCCTGCTTCCTCCCTCTCTGCCTGCCTCTCTGCCTACTTGTGATCATACTCTGTCAAATAAAGAAATAAAATCTTTAAAAAAAAAAATATTAACAGTACAAAGAAGAAAGTGCTGCCCTTAGTGTAGCTGAAAGTCCTGGATGATTACTTTTCCCGCATGGGTCATTACATATTTACAAACTCACCTTCTGTCCGAACCTCACTTCTGTTTCCTTCACTGTTACCTCTGTTATTTTTCTCTTACCACAGGCATTTCCGCTGATCATCCCTCCTTTTCCTTATCATGGCAAGCTGACCACATCCTCTGACAGCTTCATTTTTTTAACCTGCCAGCTCCTCAAGACTCCAGGTTTAGTCCTCTTCCTCATCTAAGCTCCTGGTACTAACTGACCTCCCTCCAGTGACTGAGGAATGCGGGTTCTTCAAGGATTCGCAGATAGAAGAAGGCTATTTCAATCCTTTTTTTTTTTTTTAAGATTTTTTTTTATTTATTTGAGAGAGTGTCAGAGAGAGAGCAGGGCGGAGGGGCAAAGTGAGAGAGGGTCTTACGCAGATTTACTTGAGTTTGAAGGGGCTCAGTCTTAGAACCCCGAGATCATGACCTGAGCCGAAACCAAGAGTCAGATGCTTAACTGACTGCGCCACCCAGACATCCCGGCTGTTTGCAATCTGAACCAACACATGTCCATTTCAAACTCTGGCTTTGGAGATAATCACATATTGTACATCAGACCTGAAAGAATTAATGATGCTCTTATACTTGGACTCCTGTAAATATGCTCTAAAAATAAGCTTATCAAGAATATCAGAGAATAACCAAAGCAAGCATCAGAAATTATCATGGGAGGGCACCTTGTTGGCTTAGGTCGGCAGAGTATAGGACTCTTGATCTCAGGGTGGTGAGTTTGAGCCCTATATTGGGTGTGGAGATTGCTTAAAAATAAATAAATAATGATTTTTTAAAAAAGCCTTATCCTCTTAAAAAAATATCATGGGAAATATATCAAAACTACATCTTATTCAGGTGGTTCAGATTAGACAATTTTTATTTTCCCTTCAGTGTTACCCAGTTTCCTGCAAATCAGACAGAGAACTTACTGTGCCAGCCTAATTGGGACCCCAGGGCTTTCGGACCTCTGCTGACTAAAAGGCATCCCAAATGGGGTTCTGTAGTCACACTGTGCTGACATTCTTGAACTCAGGAGGCAGTGTAAATGATTGTCAGCTAGGCTTGAATATATCAGAATTTGTCCCCCCAAAAGATGAAAACAAATGACAAATTCTTTAAGATTTTTCATAAAGTGCCATTACTAAATTTGAGTGTGAGCACCTGGGTCTTGGTGTAGATTAAAACGACATCATTCATACATACATCCCTACCACACAGCATCACATGAAATTCTTGGTTTCTTTAAATTTTTAAACTTTTCTTTAAAATTTCTTTGTATTCTGTCTTATTAAATTCTACTGTATAAATAACCTTCATCCAAATTGAGATCACCAAGTAAATCTATCATCATCACAGGAATTTATCTGGATATATTTTACTAAGCCAAATTGTTATTCTGAATTTCACTGTGTTATTCTCATCTCATTCTCATAATAAAATGGACCGAAGTTTATCAGTTATTGTACAGAATCACCTTTCAACAGAAAGCCTTGGGTGTAGAGTAGAAAGTCTGTTTTAGCTGCCGCCCTCTTGAGACTCCAGAGGTATCTTTTTAAGCCCTCGGAATCCCTGGATTCCTTACGAGTGTATGTTCTAGGTCTTGTATGGAACAGCTTCCCATTCCTCTTACTTCTGCTCGAGTGAGCATTCCGCCTGTACTTTGGACTAACACTGATTGACGTAAGATTTTTAGTTCCACCATTTCTGATGAATGATGAATCTGTAAGTATGGATGCCTCCAGCACAGACGAGCAAGGATGTGACCACACAAACAATAGTTTGGCTTATGGACTCAGGATCTTTTATTGCCATAGTGGAAATGCCAGCATCGTGAAGTGGCCAAACGCTGTCCCAAGGCCAGGACGTGAAGGAGATCTGTCAGTCTACATGTGTCTCTTGCTTTGGAGCTAGACAGCCTTGACTCACCCCAGCTGTGCATTTCCCCCCTCCCCACCTTTTCTGTAGTACGAATTCTTTTTCCCGTTAGTCATTGGTAGCCGATTCCAGGTTTGGTTTTAATCTTTTACAGTTACTAAACCAAGGAGAATTAACTGAAAGCCGGACATGAGCATGGACACCGACTCCTGGAAGAGGAGCGCTCTCTGATCCCAGAGTGCACATAGTGGGAGCAGGATGCTTCTAGAGGCTCGTGGTCTGCCAGAACTGAATGAATCTGTGAAGGACAGGACCCCGCTTCTGCCTCTGTTCACCTTCCCGGACAGAGATGATGAGTGTGGGAGCGCTTCTTTTCAAACCACCTCTGATCCAGATAAGGACGAAAGCGGTGAATGTGGGCTGGGTAACTGTACCTACCTCTCTTCCCACTATGAAATTTTGGGATGGACTTCTCCCAAAAGGGAATTTGATTATGTGTTGGCTGAAATTTCTTCGGTATGACTCTTAGAAAGGGATTTTCCTTTGAAGAATTTACATCCCAGGCTCAGCTGTCTTTTCATATGGATGAACTAAGTCCTGCCACCAACCACAAAACTTCACCAAGAAGTTGAGCTTTCAAGATGCCTTGTTGCTTTCGAGAAGGGAGGGATGTCAGTTCTGCTGTGGCATTCTCCCTTTAGCAACCTGAGTAAGAGACTCTCTGCCCCTGGGCTGCAAAAAAATAAATTACTTGAATCCCTACCTGGCCCGGGCTGAGGTACTATCTTGTCATATCCACTTACTTGGTCACTTTGCTTTGTTTATGGAATATACAGTAGCATGTTGAAGGTTTTTTGTTTTTTGGTTTGTTTGTTTTTTTTTTAAAGTTAAATACCACATGATTCACAGCTTCAGTTGTTTTCCCTTTAAATAAACAAGACAGCCCAGTCAGTTCTTTGGTTCCTTGTTTTGGACAAAACCTATTTTCTTAGGAGATTAAGAAAATAGTTCAGGCTTTCCCTTTAAGAGAGGGTACTGATTGTCCCTTTGGATTCCATGCAGGAAAAACTGAGCCCAGGAGTCTTGGGGAATGGGACACGAGCAGCTTCCTCTCTAACTAGAAAACCTAGGTAATAGTTATCATAGTACCGCTCTGTCGTCACCAGAAGGGGCCATGTCTGAGTCTAGAAAAATGGCAGTAACAACAGATACTTCTGAATTTTTCCAGAAAGCTAAACAAAAACAAAAACATGAGAAATGTGCTTCTTTTACGAGTAGGCACTCTTGCTATCATCCTGTCTCTACAGCTGATAGAGAATATCTAATCAATCATTGGTGAGAAGAGTGTTCCAGAGATCACTTACTGGTAGAAAATCATGGCTGTCAGAGAATTTTCACATTTATTTAAACTGAACCTCATGCTGACACTTATATACCATGCACACAGTGGCATATTCTAAGCAAATAACAGGACAGAATTAACTGCTGTAATAAATATAGTTCTTAATTTGTTAATGACATGCATAATCATCCTTTGTTACGTAGATTGAGTTCATGTCAATTTCCTGTATTCTTAAATTACCAGCTTTTACTTCCTGTAGCCTTACTTTTATACTATAGCATGGTTCTTAACTGGGAATATTTTTGCCTGCCCCCACATGTGGCAATATCTAGACTAGACATTTTTGTTCGTCACAACTAGGGGAGAGGGAGTTACTGGCATCTTGTGAGTAGGAGCCCAGGATGCTGCTAAACATTCTACAGTGTAAGGACAGCGCCCTCTCCCACCGCCCAACGCCCAACACAGACTCCTCTGGCGCAAAATGCCAATAGTACTGAGGTTGAGAGACCCTGTAGCAAAAGTTGCAAGCGTGTCATCCTGCAGGTGTTTTGTTACTCCCACGCAATATTTCTAAGTAATTTTTAAATTAGTTGTCAACATGCAAATTTCTGGCTTCTGTTGAAACTGGGTTGATCTGGCAATTCTGGGCCTGTGTTCTAGCAGAGACTCTGGTCTCTACTGACTCCTACTATCTCATACCCAGCGCATGTGATCCATTGGTTTCCTAACTAGCCCCTTGTAGGCATTTGGGCTTGTGCCCTTTTTTTAAAGTAGGAGGCACAAATCAAGAATGCTTAACTCAGCTCTGGTCCTCTGCCCTGAGGTTTTTTACTTTGATTTACTTAAACCATTCATTCCCTGTTTGTTACCTGCTTTTCCCCCCTGTTCTTTCTCTTTTCCCCATCCTCCAAGAGTAGCCATTGACTCAGAAGCCAAGTTTTGCCTGCCTTGACTCAACCCCCAAGTTAGCTGGTTAATATTGAAAAGCAGTAATTTTAAGTGTTACTGATTAAGCAAGTGATTTGCAATTATCTAGTAGTTCGTAAGACAGCTCTTCCAGTTCTTTCTTGGGGCTTGTAGGCTCTTGTAGAGATTCTTCTAAATCCTGCTGTGGATTTCTGGTGCTGAGTTTTGTAGTTTCATGGGTGCTACAGAAGAAATTAAAGCATTATGAAATAAAATGTTTTTAATTAAAAGCATTATGTAAGGCTGAAGGATGGTTTCAACATGTTCATTATTTTATATGGGGTGTAAAGGGAAATTTCTAGGGGGGAAACTGGGATAGGAATTAAGGGAGGGCCCATTAGGATTTAAGAAACAAAACAAAGTTGAGAATAATGGTGATAGTATGCTTTTCTCTCCTTCACTTATATGATACCAAAGGAGGGGTGCTACTAATGAATTACTTTTTTTTTTTAATGAATTACTTCTTTAATGAGTGCTAGATTTTTAACAAGCCACAATGACCAGGCTGAGGGGAAAAGAAAGGCTTTGATTGTTCAGGACAGTACAGCTTTTATTGTGGCTCAATACAGGTTTTTACCTTCAGTTATCCAAACAAAATAAAAAGTGCTAGGAAAATAGTCTTATCATTTTATAGTAAGTAAAAATACACATTGGGGCACCTTTAACCCACAGACACACGTAACGTTTGTTCCTCAAAAGTAAAGTGGAGATATTTTTGACTAATGGCCCTGGAAGTAGAATTGGAAAAATGATCTGTTTCAAATTGAAGGAATCTACAGCCCATATACAACGGTTATATTTTCTTCACAACTGCACTATTCTCCCAATTTAAATGTGTTATGTGGGGATCTCTGGGTTAGTAATTCCATATATACAGGATTGTGATCTCAAAACACACGACTGGTGGCATCGGGAGGGATGGCGGTTCAAGAGCTTCGGATAACAAGGAGGATCTGAGATTACCTGGGACAATCACTGCTTTCTGACTGCCCCCGCCGCTGTTCATCCCGGCTGCCCTGACCCTTGCTCCTCACAAAGTCTTCATCGAGCCCAGCCTGCTTCAGGGTGTCTCGATACCGTTGTTCTGCAGCTTTTCTGGCAAGGTCCTGTGGAATGGAAATTAATCTGCTGTAGCTGTCTTGTGGATTATCAGGTAATTCAAAATCACTTGCTTAATCCGTATGCCTATAATTGCCCCCTACCCCAACCCCCCATTAGTGCTGGGCACCAATGTGCATGAAAATTTCTTAGAGCTTTTTCTAGCCTTAAAAGTGCACAGGAACTACCTGAAGGTCTTGTTATTAATGTAAATTCTCATTGGGTAGGTCTCAGATAAGGCTGACAGTTCTGTATATCTAACACTCCCAGCAGATGCCAACAATTGATTTTGGACCCACCTTTGAGAAGAAAAGATTTAGATTTTTGGAAGATCAAGTGAGACTCAGATATAAACATGGACTTAAAAACATTTTAAGATTTGAAAACAACCAGGGGTGCCTGGGTGGTGTAGTTGATTAAGCGTCCAATTCTTGGTTCTGGCTCAGGTCATGGTTTCAGGGTCCTGGGACTGAGCCTCGAGTCAGGCTTCACACTCAGTGCAGAGTCTACTTGAGATTCTCTCTCCCTCTGCCCCTCCCGCTCGTGCTCTTTCTCTGATTAGAGTAAATAAATTAATTAAAAAAAATAAAAATCATCAACACTAAAATATATATGTAAAAAGAAAAACCCACTAAAATATAACAAAACACTCTTCAAAAAAAAAAAGATTTTATTTGACAAAGAGAGATCACAAGTAGGCAGAGAGAGTGGGGGAAGCCAGCGTCCCGCTGAGCAGGGAGCCCAATGCGGGGCTTGATCCGAGGACCCTGAGATCGTGACCTGAGCCGAAGGCAGAGGCTTTAACCCACTGAGCCACCTGGGGGCCCCTAACAAAACACTCTTAACAGGATAGATCTGTTGTGATCTGAGGGTTGAGCTTTGCTTGAAAAAAATTAACATAAAGAGGAAAGGGCATTATGAGAGATTTGAACAATGCTAGTTGCTAAGTAAACCCAAGACCATCCAGCGTGTGTGAGTCTGTGTGTGGTATGTATGGTGGGGGGAGGAGTGTACCCGGGAAATGCCTAGATAAGATATCACACTGGCTGTAAGATGGAGATGATGTCCAGCTGCTGGAATCAGGTCACTAGGAAACCCCAACTTTTATCTGAAACTAGAGAGAAGAGGGATCTGCAGAGCCTGATAGAACCCCAAATCCCCGGGGATGGCGGCCTTTCTGAGGCCATTCATCCGAACCAGCTTCAGACGCTCCAGAGCCTCCTTAGGGAGACCAGATCTCAACTGGGTGCAACTTCCCTAAAGGTCTAGAGAACACCTTAAAATGATTCTTCTATCCTGAAAGCCACTTAATCTGAAAAGGACTTTCTGGGGTGCTGGTGAGCATACCAATGTCTGGAGACCCATAAATGGGCCACAGCTCTGGAGGCTGGGGATGCCCAGGGTAGCAGCACTGCAGGGGGAGAGACGCTGTTAGCAAGTTAAAGATCGTCTCACTGACACAGCCAAACTGTCACTGGGTATGTGGGATTTAGCCCTCACCATGATTCAAACTGAAAGCCAGACCGCAGCAAACACTCCAGGAAGTGAAATCCTTTATAGATGCCTCTGGAGTCCTGTCTTGGATGAAATCAGTCCCAAGCAGCATTCACCACTGCACTATGTACTTGGGAGGGGAGGGGGATGGTAGTTAATAACAGGCCTAATTTAGAATCTTCCTGAGCCCAAGGAAATGTTTAATACCCAGATATTAAACTGTTCCATCATGGGGATGCCTGGGTAGCTGTTATTTAAGTATCTGCCTTTGGCTCAGGTCATGAGATCCTGGGATCGAGTCCCACATCAGTCTCCTTGCTCAGAGGGGAGCCTGCTTCTCCCTTTCCCTCTAACCCCGCCCCCACTTGTGCTCTCCCTTATCTCTTTCTCTCTTTCACTCTTTCTGATAAATACAGTCTTTAAAAAGAAACAAAAAAACTGTTCCATCCCTTTCAAGAGCCCTTTCATCCAAAACTGAAAGAAAATGAATGATGGTTTAGTTTTACCTTGCTAACTTGTTCAAAGAGGTAGGGCCTTGTCTGTATTCTCTTCTTCATTTCTTCCAATTCTTTCTTATACTCTTTTGCTCTTTTACGGTCATTGTTCCTGGAATTAACAAGGTTCTTAGAATGAATTCTCATTTTCCAATCTGGAATAGCCTTCACTCCAATTATGCAGAGTAATTCCCAAGGTCATTGTAAATTCCCAACTGTCCCTAGCAAAATCCTTGACTGTGTGCGATTATAGGAGTCTAATAACTCCATTTTGCCATTTTTCAAGGCTCATGATCTACTGGATCCCAAGACAGGCACCCTTTGACACACGGAGGACACTGACCGATTCTCTTTCAGCTTTGCTTTGAACACTTCCTCCAGGCTTTGATGGGGATCCATGGCTTTGGCACGCAAGGTCACGGATTTAGACATCGCTTGACACTTCTTTTTGTGCATCTCCAACCACTGAGTACTCTCATCTGCTTTGTCCTTTTTTTCAAGTGAACTTCTAAAGAGAGGAGGCAAAAACCATACAGATGACCAACTTGAGTATATTTGAAAGCAATCTTAGTAAACTCTCTGGAAAGGAAAATGGTGTTTTCTATGAAGGGCATTTCAGAAAGAATAGGATTCTGAGATTGGCACATGAAGCCTTCCCAGCACTATGGACACAGTAATCTTCTGCCCCAGGAGAAGTTCATTAATTGAACTGAAAAAACGTATGAGTTAAAATATCCTTGTACTCATGCTTCTGGCATGTCTGGAAATGAGATGATCCTGAGAGCTGCCGTTTGCTGAGCTCTCTACTCTGAACCGAGTGGAGAAAGGAATCAAGTGCTTTATATCCATTATCTTCCTAACTGCCCTATGAGGTGAGAACTGTAAGCCCCTCTTTTTATAGGCAAGGAGATCGAGGTTCAGAAAGGGTGAGCCACTTACTCAAAGCCACCCAGCAAGCTAGTGGAGAAGCCAAGATCTGAACCAGGATGTCTGACTCCCAAGCCTCTGCCCTTGACCACTGTGCTCGAAGGTGCCTGGATTCATGGGCCCTTGGGAATACAAATCTGCATTTTCACAGAGAACTGAAAATAGGCCTCTTTCCCTGCACAGTTTGGGGTTAATTTACAGCACTTAGTTTGTGTAAGTATCATTTGACAAGGTACTATGGAGAGTTCTATGAAAAGAAAAAACAGTCAAGACTCTTGCATTTGGATATTTACATTCAAATGAACAGATTAGGAAGGAAGGCATGAAAGTTGAGTCTGCCATGGTATCAAACTCCCTGTTGCTGGGAAGTAAATACAGACATCCCCTAGGTCTGTATTTACTTCCGGGGTGCGAGCTTCCCGTTCATAAGGCTTATCTTACTGGGGCCTCAGGATACTGATGCACGTAGCCTTCACTCAGTAGCCCTAAGAAATCTGAGGAAGAAGGGAGTATCCCTTGGATTCTAAATACATATTTTTTTTTTTAAAGATTTTATTTATTTATTTGACAGAGATCACAAGTATGCAGAGAGGCAGGCAGAGCGGGGTGGAGGGGGAAGCAGGCTCCCTGCTGAGCAGAGAACCCGATGTGGGGCTTGATCCCAGGACCTTGAGATCATGACCTGAGCCCAAGGCAGAGGCTTAACCCACTGAGCCACCCAGGCGCCCCCTAAATACATTTCTAAGATCACTGTTGCGTGTCCTAAAGAGCCAAGTAGGTCCCGAGTACTCCTCTCTGAGCCCCACAGGAAAGCACTAAGATGCTAGTCCTCTCCCGGAGCTCAGCGACGTGCCTGTTATTACCATGACCTTGCCTGCCAACTTCAGCTCAGAGGTCTAGCGGAGGAACTCTTGCTGGGGTGCTGGTCTGATGAGAGCAATACTACGACAGAGTCAGGTCAGTTAAAGAATTAAAAAGTAAGGAGGCTCCTGCTTCCCAACCAACTTCTGATAATTCCCCAAAGATGAACCTCAGACAGTTAAAGCTGCGTGGTAGATGCCTTCTCTTTGTGACCAGGTCCACCACCTGCCATCACGCTTCTCTGAATTCCTGTTCCTAATGGCTCCCTCTTTCATCTGTGGGTCTTCACCCATGTTGTTCTCTCTGGAACCTTCTTTCCAGCCTTTGGCTAATTCCTCATTCTTCAGAGATTAAAGAGACCCCTGCCCCAGGCTATCCAGTGCTCCCAAGTTTCCCCCACCAATGCATTTCTTACAAAATATGGTAACAACTTTGCTTTTCTGTATTTCATACTAGGTATACTAAACTAGAGGTTCCATAAGGCATCTCCAGCCTTAACATTGTAACTGGCACAGAGTAAATTCCCTGTGAGCACCTGCTGAGTGATGGCCGGGTGTTCTCTAGCACTGCGTGTGGAGGGTGACATGTATTCCTGTCCCGATCAGCGTTCCCTTCCACCCCATAGGTCTCTCCGATAACCAGAGAGGAGGCCCAGCAGCAGGATGGTTTCTAGCACTGGGGTCAAGATCCAAGCGCTGACCATTGATCTCCATCCTAGGCCAAGGTCTCGGGCTCGACCACTCACCTGACCGCAGATTCCCTCTTCCTGGTGGCATCTGTGATGTGCACAGGGAGGGTGTTGGCAGAGAGGGAAGCAAGGCCACTCAGAGAACGGCTCCTTGGCAGGGGTGTGGCTGGTGGCTGCAGGGAGTCCTAGAAGAAACGAAGGTTGGTATTGATGGGACAGCAATGTGTGATGAGTTTCTATTCTAACTATGATTTATTTTCAGTGAAGGACTAGTCAGACCGAGAATCCTTTTTCTTCCCCCTGGGATTATGGAAAGAGTAATGAGTTTATTACTAGGCCTAGAGTTGGATATCACTCCTAAAGTTTTAAGATCAGATGAGAAGTGGGGCACCTGGGTAGCTCAGTGGGTTAAAGCCTCTGCCTTCAGCTCGGGTCATGATCCCAGGGTCCTGGATCGAGCCCCACGTCAGGCTCTCTGCTCAGTAGGGAGCCTGCTTCCCCCTTTCTCTCTGCCTGCTACTCTGCCTCCTTGTGATCTCTGTCAGATAAATGGATAAAATATTTGAAAAAAATCAGATGGGAAGAGTTCTTTATAATTGATATAGGGTTGTGAGCAATTGATCCCAACTCCCTACTTTCTAGACTTGCTTGGACTTATTTCTGCAAAATTTCTCTAGAAAAGTTCCCTCTCGGAAGGCAAGGAAAGGAAGTATTATTATGGTTCTAAGTTTATAGGAACTGTGGAGCTTACAGCAGAGCCAGTGTTTTTTTTTTTTTTTTAAAGATTTTATTTATTTATTTGACAGACAGAGATCACAAGTAGGCAGAGAGGCAGGTAGAGAGAGAGAGAGGGGAAAGTAGGCTCCCTGTTGAGCAGAGAGCCAGATGTGGGGCTCGATCCCAGGACCCTGGGATCATGCCGAATGCAGAGGCTTTAACCCACTGAGCCACCCAGGCGCCCCACAGAGCCAGTGTTTTATTTTAATTTTATTTTTTTTAAGTTTTTAAAAATTAAAATTCTGTTGATTAACATGTAATGTATTATTAGTGTCAGGGGTAGAGGTCAATGATTCATCAGTCTTTTATAAGGAGCCAGTGTTTCTTTTTAATTTTTTAAATTTATTTTTCAAGATTGATTGATTTATCAGAGAGAGAGGAAGAACACGCTTGCACGCATGCTCAAGCAGGGGGAGCAGCAGGCAGAGAGAGAAACAGACTCCCTGTTGAGCAGGGAGCCCGATGCGGGACTCGAACCCACGACGCCGGGACCATGACCTGAGCCAAAGGCAGTTCCTTAGCTGACTGAGCCACCCAGGCACCCCTGAGCCAGTGTTTTTTTAAAAAAAGACAGGAAAATGTCATGAGAAGCGCCTCCCATCGAGACTGGCCTGTCTGCTGGGTCCCAGGCCCCGACCCTCCTGCAGCTGCCTGGGCTCTCACCCTTCTCCCTCCAGATGTGGTGGCATCACAGGACCGCGGAGTGCGACGCAGGCTGCCGGTCCTCAGCAAGAAGGGCTTGTTGCGAGTCCCCTCTCTGGTGTCCCTTCTCTTGGCAGCTCTTCTCTGGAAGGTCTTGTAAAGGCCTTCGTAGTCAGGGACGGCGGGATTCACACGAGGCTGGAATCCAAAGTCCGTGTGCAGAAACGCAAGCTTTTCCTTCTGGGTTCGGGTAGCTGCGCGCAGCTGTGGGCTCGCCCGGCCGCCGGAGGGGGCGATAGGGGAGGCGGCCTTCTGGAGCATGTCTAGGGCTCTCATCTGGATGCGAATTTTCCTGAAGAGCTCTGCTTCTGTGGAGAAGAAGTCAGGGTGGTGATGGGTGAGAGGAGACCTGCCTGGGCTTGGACAATGTTCCCTGTGAAGCCCTAGCGGAGGGTGACGGAGCCGACCGACAGCTTCCGCAGGAATTTCGGGCAGCAGCTGACTCCATATGGGAAGCTCCCTGTCGGCCGGGAGAGCTGTGCTTACACGACGGACAATGGCAAACACTACAGATCAGCTTGCTTTGTTTTTTCTGGAGAGTTCGTTCATAAACGTTGGCCAGAACACGGCTGCCAGGTACCAGCAGGCCGCAGAGGCAGCCACCACGGACACCACGGGTACCGACTGCTTTCTGTGGTTCCTTCTTCAGAGGTGGAGCTGGTGAGGCGGGCCGGTCACCCCCCTCTCCCAGGTCCCCCAGACTCAGGGCAAGTACCCGCTATCCACCCAGAGGCCCACGCTGTTGCCCAAATCACTCTCGCCTGCTGTCTCTGGTCAGTCCCAAGTTCTGCGGTCTCTGCTCTTTAACCATGCTCCAGCCTGGCCTCTCCTCACCGTCCCTGCTGCTCATTTCACAATCTCTCCACTGAACTGTCCACATGGGGTCCTGCAGACAAACACCCTCCGGGCCAGTCCCTCCCCGCTTAACCGTCTCCACCACCGCATCTGAGTGGTCTTCCTGGGCTGCGGATCTGATCCCAAGCCCTCCTTAAAGCCCTTCAGGGGTTCCCCAGTGCCCTTGGGAGGAAATCCAACCTTCTCCCACCGCCTACAAGCCCCCAGGTCTGCGGGGGGCCTGCCTCTCCCTCCCCACTCCTGCTTCTCTCCCCTGTCCTGTGACTGTGTTCTGCTTCTTCTGACCTCTGCCCTGTTCTCTCGGGTCCACTCTTCCTCCCTCTTCCTCCCTCTTCCCTTCCTTCAGGGGTTGCCTCAGTGCTCTCTTTCCCCGGGACCTTCGCTTGCTGCTCCCACCGCCTCACCACACCCGAAATGAGGTCCCTGTGTCCCGTGCTCCGTGAGGGCGGAGGCTTTAAACCTTGTAAACCACTCACCACATCCGTGAGTTCTGTTACCTGCTATCTGGCTTCCTCCCGTGCGCCCCAACTCCAAGTCTGTCTGTTCCACGCACAGTAGTGCCTGGAGCTTGGCATGTTACTGAATGAGTAAAGCCTGAGTCCTTTCACCGAACCCCATTTCTTGAAATGAGGCTGCGTGGGAGCTTCCCTCGGGAGCAGCCGGTGGGGGCACTGGCCTAAGCTGGCCCTTGGGTGTCTCACTGGTTCTGCCGATGCGTTCGTGTCCTGTCAGCAGCCACAGGACCAGCCTAGGGCATGCCAGGCCACCTCTCACGCTCGCTCCCGCCAGGGCTCCCCCACGACACAGACAGAGCCAGCCCGTGGCCTGCCCTGAGTGTGGCCTGGAGGCCGGGCCTCCAGAGCAATGAGTTCATCTCCCGGCCAGGCTGACCCCCGAGCCCAAGTCCCCCCAGCACCCCTTGGCAGCCCCAGGCAGCAGGCAGCATGGTGGGAAGGAGGTCTTTACCTTGGAGTTTGTCCCCGAGGGCTGGCTCCAGAATAGACTTGGGAATCCTTCTGGTGGCCTTCTGCTTGGGGACCTTGGCCTTGGCTGTGGCGGCCGGCTCCCTCTGTTTAGCGGCTTCCTTTCTCTGCTCCTCCTTCACTAGGAAGTTGAAGGGCTTCAAGGAGGAGAGGAGCAGTTCCTTCCTCTTCTGGATCCCTGCCTGCCTGCGGGCCTCGTTGTGCTCCGTGATCTCCTGGTAGAGGGGCAGGTAGACGTGCGCAGGCACCGGCTGCGCCCGGAACTGCCGGTGGCACTCGGCCTCCTCCTGCCCCTGCCGCTGGGCCTGCTTCCTCTCCCGCTCAAAGGACGCAGGGGAGGCCAGCCACTGGGCCTTCTTCTGGGCCTCACGCAGTGTCATGCGGAACGGCCGGGGGACCGTGATGGAAGACACCCAGGAGCTGATGCTTCTGTGCTGCGAGGGGGGCCTGGAGCCTGGGGGTGGCTGGGGCTGACTCTTGGGATCGTCGGAGGGAAGGCTGCTCAGGGAGCTGCAGCGCCTCGTGGAGCTGCACCTGGAGGGAGAAAGCAGCTGCATTGGGGGACACATGGAGGACACGTGGAGGACTGTGGCAGACGGGAGGCTGGCCCCTCCTCCTGCTCGTCCCTGTCCTCCCTCCCAGGAGGTGGCAGCTGGCTTCTCAGCCTGACATCCTGGCCCCACAGGCCTCTGAGCCTGTGCCTCTCTGGACTGGGCCTCCCTCCTTTCCGTCAGGCCTTCTAGCAGCCCATTAGGAAGTCTTTTCTCACAACTGATTCATGAATTACCACTTTGCATTCTAATATTTTATGTTTTTTTTTTTTTTCCTTGTAAAGATTTTTTTAAAGTAATCTCCACACCTACTGCGGGGCTCGAGCTCACATCCCTGAGATCAAGAGCTGCATGCTCCACTGACTAAGCCAGCGAGGCACCCTGCATTCTGATATTTTCGTATGGGCAGGAGAACAGTGCAGTGGTACAGAGCGCGGCTTTAGACTCAGACCCAGGTTCAAATCTTGCTTCAAACAATTACCAGCCATGTGCCCTTTAGCAGGGTTTGCTTGGAACCTCGATTTCCTCATCTGGAGAATGGCAAAAATAGTATCTACTTACAGGGTTAGTGGGAAGAGAAAATAAATATTAAATGTTATATAAATGCAGCGTACATGCATATAGAAGGGCTTGGCCAACGTCAATGTACCTCGTTGCTATTCTCGGGAGTGAGAAGGGCATCCCTTTAATCAATCCCAGTGCTTCGAGTGACTAAGGGTAACCCAAAGTGATTTAGGACGGCTAGATAGGAATCAGAACATGTTTGGCTCCGAAGGCTTATTCTAAGCTGGAGCCTGGGTAAGGGACAACTTGCAGAATGGTCTTTATTGAGGAAGAGGATGAGGCCCAGAGTCACAAGGGACTTGGCCAGAGTTGGGCATGAAGTGCCTTACCTCGGAGACAGTGGGTCCTGGACATGTGGCTTCCCCCTGCCTTTGTCTTGGAAGAAACTCTCCAGGTCCTCCTCATCTTCGGAGAAGTTCTCACCACTGTCTGGGTCAGACTGAAAAAGGGATTCCAACAGGCACCACCTGCCTTTCTGCTTTAGTACCTCCAGGGTCTCGGAAAAGCTCCCAGTTGAGTCGGAATCCGAAAGCGTCAAGTCCTCTGGGCTGAGGAAGTCATCCAGTTTGCCAGCCCTGGGCAAAACCAGTCCATCCCCAGAAAGCTCCTCTTCTGTCTCCGAGTCCGAGGAGGATTTGGGGGGAAACACCTACAGTGAAATAGAATAAATGGTGGGTCAACTATCATTCAAATTTACTCAAAACATAACTGCTAACTTCACTTTGAATAAGTCTCTGTATACTAGGGACTGGGAAGGAAGAAAAATAAGATGTATTCCTCACTTTAAAGAAATTTCACAAATTGGTATATGGGGTATGCTTGGTTGAAGGGCAGGGAAGAGAAGCAGACAGGTGAGCAGTTACGGAGCGTGCACTCTGCCTCCTGCACTCCAGGAACCCCACCCAGACCTTGGCCACACTCTGGGCCTTGCCCTATTTGGTTTTTACCTACTTGTTGCCAGTCTTCTTTTTCCCGCTCCTCCTGTCTGCACCTCTGCTTTCCTCCTCTTCTACCTAAGATCTACCCCTTTACTAGGAACGAATAATTAACTGGACAGATAATGTGTTCTAGCTGAAAGAACAGTGTCCTAGAAAGTGGATTTCAATACTCTGTTCCTTTAGAAAATCTTTATTTGGTGCCTAATGTGCACTGGGCATTAGGCTGAGAACGAGTCAAACAAGGTCCCTATTCACAAAGCTTATGCTGTAGAGAGAGGGAGACAGACAATATAAGGTGATAATATATTCAATGAAAGTCATAAACTGAGAGATTATGTGGTGATGAAGTGGTTTGGGAAGCTGTTCTGTTGATAAAAGCCCATCAGATAAAAATCACTGGGAATAGTACCTATAATCAGAGCTAGGTTTATTAATTTGTTGGAGTACACCACGAAAAATTAAGGAAACGTGCAGGGTGGGGGGATGGGGTGGGGGCTTTCAGTCAGAGGGTGGGGGAAGGGCTTTTCCTGGGGCTGGCTTGTCCCAATGATCCTGGGGAGGAGAGTGGATCCCTCTGTATCCACTCTGAATGGATGCTGTCGTGAAGAGGGCGCAGTTCCGTGAGCGAGTGAGCACTTCTGATTCCAACGGTAACTAGAACAAAGTGGGGCTGGGTAAGTAATTGATAGGTAAGCATCATCATTTAGAAGGAGGTCTTAATCGTTTTGCAGGTATGCTGTGGCCCGTGAGAAACACTGTTTTCTGCTCATCTGGCGGCTCACCTTAGCTGTGTCTGTTACAGTCTGCACCGTCGTTTCTCCGTCTTGGGCTGACTTTTACTTTCTCACTGCGGAGGGGTTTTTGACTGAACACCTCATTGATGAGAGGGAGCCAGCCTTGCTAAGAGCTGGGGTAGGAGGGTTCTGGGTTCAAGGAAAAGCAAATGCAAAGGCCTTGAAGCAGGAATAAACTTGGCTCTTGGAGAGGCAAAAGGAGGGCCAGGGTGGCCGGAGGACAGTGGTATGAGATATCCTTAGAGAAGCAGGTGTGGGGCCAGGATTGGGCGGGATAAGATGACTGCTTGCACCTGGAGCACAGGCTCCTACAGGCCTCCAGGTGACACTTGGGGATGATTCTCTAAGGTCCACCTCTAATACTGAAAAGAACACTGGATTCTGAGTCAAAGAATGTGCTCCAGCCCTTGCGCTGCTACTGAAGACCATGTGATCTTGGGAAAATTTTTTTTTAAAATGACTTTATCCAGATATAATTCAGACACCATACAATTCAAACAATTCACTTACGGAAAGAGTACAATGCAATGGGCTTTAGTATATTCACAGAGCTGTGCAACCATCACCACCGTCAATTTTAGAGCATTTTAATCACCCCAAAGAAAGCCCATACTGGCGGGATCCTGGGTGGCACAGTGGGTTAAGCCTCTGCCTTCAGCCCACGTCATGATCTCAGGCTCCTGGGATCAAGCCTGGCATCTGGCTCTCTCCTCAGCGGGGAGCCTGCTTCTCCCCTCTCTCTGCCTGCTTGTGATCTCTGTCAAATAAATAAATAAAATCTTAAAAAAAAAAAAAAAGAAAGAAAGCCCATACCATTTAGTAGTCACTCCGTATTTTGCTTAGTCTTTCCAACCCTTCCCTCGCAGCCAGCCCTAAGCAACCACCAATCTACTTTCTGTATGGATTCCGTGGCAAATTTCTTTTTCTATTTTTTTTTTTTAAGATCTTATTTATTTGAGAGAGAAAGAGCGCGCGCGCGAGAGAGCACACGAGTTTGGGGGAGGGGCAGAGGAAGAAGCAGACTCCCCGCTGAGCAGGGAGCCCGAAGTGAGGCTCCATCCCAAGACCCTGGGATCATGACCTGAGCGGAAGGCAGAGGCTTAATTGACTGAGCCACCCAAGCGCCCCTCTAATTGCAAATCTCTTAGTCTCTCTGTGCCTCAGTTTTCTTTTCTACAAAATGGGGACAACATCGGACTATCAGTTCTAGGGCAGTTGACAGGATAAGCGAAAACCGAGGGCCATCGCTGTGGTTCTATGAAGGGCCTGACGTAAGGCTCAACCCCTTCGGGAGTCAGCGTGCGGGACCTCAAACGCTGCGGATTTTAATCCCACACCCCCCTGCGACACGCCCCTGCCGTCTGTCTCCAAGGCAACGTCAAGCAGTTTCCTCTCTTAGAGATTCCTTTCCGGGGCGCAGACCCAATTCCTCTCCTTCTCTCCTCACCTGACGGCTCCACTGAGCGCCTACACTGAGGGCTCCTGCAGCCCTCCCGATGGTCATCTTCTCCGCGGGGCAGAGACGGAGGCGGCGGTGACAGCTCCGGCTACGCGCTAGTGCGCGGTCGGTACTAGCTGCAAGATTAGGTTCCGCCCCCTTCTGGCTTTGGCCTCTGATTGGCTCCCAGGCGGATGCCTGAGCCAGTCCCCCTTCCAAGGAAGCCTCTGATCTTTCCCGCCCAAGTTGGCAAGAGTCATTTTCTGATTGGCCTAGTCTTTGCGCGTTCTATTTCCGGCTCTGAGGCCGGGGCGGAAGCAGCTAGTGATTGGAGAGCTCTGTTCCGGAAGCGCAGGAAAAGGAGGGCCTAGTGGTGCGCAAGTACGTTTCAGCTTAGCACCATGGCGGCACGCCTGGCTGTGAGCGGTTGGAGGGCTGCCCCTGCAGCGGCTGGGAGAGGCCCGCTGCTGTCCTGCCGGAGGTGGTCCGGCGCCAAGGCAGACACGCTGTACGATGTGGTGGTGTCGGGCGGAGGCCTGGTGGGTACCGCCATGGCCTGTGCCTTGGGTAAGCGGAGCTCCAGGCAGGTATTCGCGGGGAGGGCGGCCGTGGAGCAACTGTGAGGACCGTGGGAGCTCTGAGCTCCAGTGCTCTTTCCCCTGCCGAGAGGAGCCCCACGCCAAGCGCTTGGTCCTTCTGGGTTCCGAAGGGTCAAAAGTGGGAGGGTCCTTAGGAATCATGCTAAATCCCGGCGGTGGTTATTTAGGAACGGACACAGTTGTAAGTTAACAGGCATTGTATCGGGCTAGGCGTTTCGTTTCGTTTCGTTTCGTTTCGTTTCGTTTCGTTTTCTTTCTTTCTTTCTTTCTTTCTTTCAAGATTTTTATTTATTTATTTGACAGAGATCACAAGTAGGCAGAGAGGCAGGGAGAGAGAGAGGAAGGGAAGCAGACTCGCTGCTGAGCAGAGAGCCCGACGCGGGGCTCGATCCCAGGACCCCGGGATCATGACCCGAGCTGAAGGCAGACTTTAACCCACTGAGCCACCCAGGTGCCCCAACGTTTCGTTTCTTTTAGAAAATAACTTCCTTGAGATGTAATTGCATACCGTAAGGTTCACCCCTTTAAGCATACAGTGGTTCTTAGTATATTAACAGGTTGTGCATCCATCACCACCATGAATATTAGAACATTTTTATCACCCCCTAAAGAAACAGGAACCAATTAGCATACACTTCCCATTTCCCCCAAAGCTCCTCAGCCCTAGGCAACCACTTGTGAACTTTTTGTCTCTACAGATTTGCTTCTTCCTGACATTTTCATATACTTGGATTCTGCTTAATGTCTTAAAGGTTCATCCAAGTTGTGTGCACCAGTACTTTTTACGGTTAATTCTGCGTTGTGTGGATGTCGTACATTTGGTTTATGCATTTATTAGTTGACGGATGTTTGGGTTGTTTCCACTTCCGGACTGTTTCGAATAATGCTATTAATTTGGTACAGGGTTTAGTGTAAACATACATTTTTGGTTACTTGGATATATCCATTTCTAGGAGTGGAATTGCTGGGTCACATACATGGTAACTCTGTGTTTGGAAGAACTGCCAAATGGTATTCCAAGGTCGCTGCACCATTTTACATTCCCACCAGCTGTATGAGGGGGCCAGTTTCTTCGTATCCTGCACAGCACTCGCTCTTGTACTTTTGTTGATAGTCATCCTGATGGGTGTGAAGTGGTGTCTCCTGGTTTGATTTGAATTTCCCTAATGACTAATGATGTCCAATATCCTTTCATATGCTTATTTGTTTTTCTTTGAAGAAATGCCTGTTCAGAACCTTTGCCATCTTATTTTGATTTTTTAAAGTAATTTCTTCTCCATTGTGGGGTTTGAACTCAGGAGCCCACAATCAAGAGTTGCATGCTCTGTCAACTGAGCCAGCTAGACACCTCCCTTTGCCCATTTTGGGCAATTTGTCTTTTTATTATTGAGTTCTAAGAGTTGTTTTTGTTTGATTGTTTGTTTAATCTGGGCACAGGTCCTTTAACAGCTAAATGATTTGCAAATATTTTCTCTTATTTTATGGGTGGCCTTTTCATTTTCTTGGTGGTGTCCTTTGAAACAGAAGTTTTTAGTTTTGATAATGTTCAGCTTGTCAAGTTTTTACCACTTACACTTTTGGTGTCATATTTAAGAAATCATTAGCTAACGCAAAGTCATGAAGATTCATTCTTGTGTTCTAAGAGTTTTGTAGTTTTAGCTTTTGGATTTAAGTCTGTGATCCACTTGGAGTTAAACTTTGTAAGGTGAGGTGAGGACTTTGCTTTTACTTGTGTACTTTAGTGTGGTTCACTTCACTGTGATATAGATACTGTTTTCATATTTTATGTGAGGAAACTTGCTTAGCAAGGTTAAGTAAGGACCAGAGTGTTTTGTTTTTGTTTTTGTTTTTTTTTTTTTAAGATTTTATTTATTTATTTGACAGAGAGGGAACACAACCAGGGGAAGTAGGAGAGGGAGAAGCAGGCTTCCCGCTGGGCAGGGAGCCCGATGCCAGGCTCCATCCCAGGACCCTGGGATCATGACCTGAGCCAGAGGCAGACGCTTAACGACTGAGCCACCCAGGCTCCCCTAAGGACTAGAGTCTTAACAGCCAACTGGTAATAGACTGAGAACTTGAACACAGGTCACCAAACTCCAGTTCTTATGCCGTTTTTAAAAAGATTTATTTATCTGAGAGAGCTTTTGCACGCATGGGATAGGGGGTGGATGTGGGGAGAAAAGAGGCAGAGGAAGAGGGAGAAAAGGAGATTTCCCCCTGAATGCAGAGCCTAATGCGGGGCTGGATCCCAGGACCCTGAGATCATGACCTGAGCCAAAATCAAGAGCCAGACGCTCCAGCAACTGACCCCACTCAGATGCCCCCAGATCTTTTGGTTTTAACAATTGTATAGTGACTTGCAGAAATTGGATCTGAATTTTCTGACGTCACAAATTAAAGATCACTAATAATATAAAAGTCTTTGTTGGCTTAAGAATAAGGTGTGACAGCCACATCTCCCCTAGGGTGGCTCCCTTTTGGGATACTGGTGGGAAACAATGCTTTGTAGGAACTAATTGGCTTGAGTCTCAAAGTCATTATGAGAAACATAGTCATCAGTTATTGAGCACTTGTTATGGATAGGCATCTTTTAAAGTATTTTGCATAGGGGCACCTGGGTGGCTCAGTCGTTAAGCATCTGCCTTCGTGTCAGGTCATGATCCCAGGGTGCTGGAATCGAGGCCCTGCATCAGGCTCCCTGCTCCGCGGAAGCCTGGTTCTCCCTCTCCTACTCTGCTTGCTTGTATTCCCTCTCTCGCTGTATCTCTGTCAAATAAAATCTTTAAGAAAAAGTATTTTGCATAACATTTTTACTTAATCCTCATAATCTTTTTTGGGGGGTACAAAAAAGTGGTTTTATTGAAGCACGGGGACAGGACTCCTGGGCAGAAACAGCTGCACTGGGTCATAATCTTTTTTAATTGAAGTCTGATTGACACGTGTTGCATCCACTTACTCTCTACAGTCTTGATTGTAAATTGTGCAGACAAGAAAGTTAAAACTCGGGTTAAGTAGCTTGCACGCAAAAGTTAGTAATTGGGAGATAAAAAGCCTTTCTGAGACACACAGCTCTCTGGCAGGTATACATACCTTTGCTTCCTGACAGCCATTTTGGTTGTACCTACTGGCCACTGGGCTAAAACAGTGGTTCTCAAGCTTGAGTACAGTTAACAATCAGCTGGAGTTTTTGTTTTCTTTGGAGGTGTTGAATAAGGCACGTACAGAAAATTCAAAGGGGGTTTTGTGTTCTGAAATACCAAGGGTATAGGGCATACACTGTAAAGGATGTAAAGTGAGACTTCCATTCTTTACTTTTACCGCCCGGTTCTCCTTGAAGACAGTCACCCGTTACCAGTTTGTGGGGCATGTTTCAAAAATGAGGATTCCAGGTTTGGGTTTATCGAGATGGGGCCCAGGAGCCTGGACTTCCGACAGATACCTGCAGAGTGGATGCCGGGAGGCCACACTTTGAGAAAGAGAAGCAGCGGAAGAACTGAATTTTCTTATAGTGACGTGACTTCTTAACTTTTTAAAAAAAATTTTATCTATTTGAGAGAGAGAGTGATAGAGATCATGAGAGGGGGAAGGTCAGAGGGAGGAGCAGACTCCCCATGGAGCTGGGAGCCCAAAGCGGAACTCGATCCCGGGACTCCAGGATCATGACCTGAGCCGAAGGCAGTCGTTTAACCAGCTGAGCCACCCAGGTCTCTCCAACTTTTTAATATAATTTTGTATGATATGTATCTTGAAAAATTTCTAGCCTTACTAAAACTTTAGTGTTAATATTTGTATTTAACTTTCTTCCTTGTTTTTTTTTTTTTTAATTAAAAAAAAAGATTATTTATTTATTTGACAGACAGAGATCACAAGTAGGCAGAGAGGCAGGCACAGGGGTGTGTGTGGGGGGGGAGCAGGCTGCCCACTGAGCAGAGAGCCTGATGTGGGGCTCCGTCCGAGGACCCTGGGATCATGACCTGAGCCGAAGGCAGAGGCTTTAACCCGCTGAGCCACCCAGGCGCCCCCCCTTGTTTATTCTTTATCTTAATGCTCTTCAATGCCTCAAGGAGGGAGAGCAGCAGTGCTTTCTTTTACAAACTCAGAGAATTCTGTACTGCAGTTCCTTTTTTCCATCTCTTCCACAGAAGTATAAGTCCTCAAAGTCAAGACTGACTTTTAAACAGTTATAATGCAGACTTCTTGATACAAGTCTACAAAAGAAAAGTCAGGAGCTGGAGTGCACTGGGTTGTTACAGTTTCTGCTCTAAGTCAAAACCACCAAACAGGTTAACAGAAGAAAATTCACACACGGGCCAATTTCCTTAAAAAGCAGAGAAAATAATAAACGTTAAATGTGAAAGTTAAAATTCTGGAAGGTTTGGAATCTTTTTTTTTTTTTTTTTTTAAGATTTTATTTATTTATTTGACAAAGAGACAGAGGGAGCGCGAGAGCGAACACAAGCAGGGGGAGTGGGAGAGGGAGAAGCAGCCTCCCCACTGAGCAGGGAGCCTGATGTGGGACTTGATTCCAGGATTCCAGG